GCTACTCTGGAGCCTCTGGTTTTAACTCCTATACTCCAGTGAGGAAGTGCAGGGAGAATCTGGCTAGCAGTTCCCCTACTATAGGAGCCCCCAAAGTGCTTTACAGTTGACCGCCATGTTCTTTGTAGTTCTTTGAGCGTATGTTATGGAAGTTGTTTTAAAGTCTTCCTCTAGTAGATCTTTTTTGAAGACAGACTTCACTGGTTTACCTTTTCCTTTGAAGATACCACACTTTCCTGTCCATTATGTGCCTCACAATTTTAATTGAAAGCTGGACATTCGAATATGATGACTCTGGGAGGCAGATTCTCCTCCTTCCCCAGTGTTTGCAGATTCTTGTTATTGCCTTGTTCACTTTATCTGTAGGCTGTTTCTGGGCCAGTCTGAGGTATAAACCGAGGGTTTCCATAGGTCTTTCTAAGCCCGCCCTTTTCCCTGGTGTGAGCTTTGCTTTCTCTTCTTACCCTATTATACTGCTGGTCTTTTGTCACTTAGGTTTTAGTGTTTAGCTCCCACAAAGAACAACAGAAAAACAAGAGACAGAGGTAACAGCCTTTCACGTCTTCTTGAAGTCGCCCAGCTGCAGGGAGGGAGAGTAAGCACAGCAGTTCCCCCCTCCTCTGTCTACACCTCTGAGATGCGGATTAGCAGCCATTGCTGGGGACCTGTGTTTGGAGGACAGCATCTTTTGCCTGGGACCACAGGTCACGTGGATGCTAGTCTGAGAAGACGTGTTGTGGGGAGCAGGCCCTGGGCAGGAACTTTATGGTCATAATGAACTGCTCTTGGCTGTGCAAGTCTTCTCCTGGAAGTCACAGACCTGCAGATTCCCAACATAGCATATTGGACGGATCCCACAGCACACTTGTCTGCTAGAGAGGCCATTTCTGGTACCCTCTGCTCCACCATGTCCCAGAATCCTCCAGAAAGTCACTTTGAAACAGCTTTCTTCAAGGAGTCAAATCTTAAGACACCATTAGCTCAGATTACATGCCAGAGGCTAGCCTGGAGACCAGAGGGAGGAGAGAGGCAGTTGCCAGCATGGTTTTGGGCCCAGAGCCCAGCTGCCCATCCTGAGTGGGAGCCTCTAGCCTGGGGTGAAGACATTTAGGTGTGGCTAGATCACCCTCATTGAAAGGTGACCACTGCAGTGGTCCTTTGCTGTGTAAAGTAACAGTCATTGTGATGTGGACATCTTTGAGGGCCATTACTCTGCTCACCAAGGTCTGTGTGCATGGATGCACATGGGGACACAGACACCAGTCCTCTCTTCTTATGAGTGGGCTCATTCTGTGTGTGAACGTTCCTTGATGTAACTCCTGTGTCTCCCAGGGAGCTGCCCGGCTCTTTCTGTGACCACAAGCACATCCTTTGATGTACCTTTAGGCACTGGGGTTTGGGGAGGTCATAAGGGAGGCAGTGCACCTGCTTGCTCAGGTGGGTTTTAGTCTTTCAAAGGTACAGCTCTGTCCTGGAGATGTTTATTCTGTGTATTTTTCTTATGACATGGAGATCGGGTCTTCATAAGTGGGCTTGAGCACTGTGTCACTGCTACTGGGTAACAGTAGCATTAGGGAACTTTCTGTAAACACCACTTTGGCTCAGGATCTTCTATCTCACTGAGATTTTCATCTTCAGTTTGAACAGGAAAGGGGCACCTAGGGATATCATTAGGAACGAAGCACCCTGCTTTGCCACATGTGCTTGGGGCATGGTTGCTAGATGTGCAGCCTGGCATCCAGCGGGGCAGCTCCCAGCAAGTTATCAAAGGATGGCTTCCACTCTAACTGTTCTATCTGGAGTGAGTATTGCCATGCTCACCGTGTAACCATTGCCCGGCAGTTTCCCCCCAGCCCTTTAGAGCTGTTTTTGCCAGCTCTGTCTTTGCTGTGATGTTGCTTGAGTTTGCTCTGCTCTTTGCTTTTTGTCTGACTGGATCTCTGCATGTCTCTCTTCCTACTGAGGGTTCCAGTACCTTGTGATTACTGGTGCACTTGAATCCAAACCACCCTCTTCTTTTTGTTGGCTTTTTGTGGCTTTTACTCTGGGCGGATTGCAGTTTCTTAGTTCCACGAGGGCCCTGAATATCTCTTAAAGTGGGCGCCCATCACAAAGCTGTCCTCTGAGGCCTCATCCCACAGCAAAGCAGAGTCAGTCCTGGGTGTGTGTGGCAAAGTGCTGCTTCGCCGAGAGCATCACAGCTCAGCTCTCCTGAGCTGCGTCCAGCCTTGCCCAGCACAGTTCAGTCTTATGCCGGCATGCTTGTTCGACTTGTACCCTTGGACTCTGCAATGCTGGGTGACCACTGGGTACCCAGAGTGGATCCAGCACTAGAGATGCTATCACCTACCCTTGGCCTTGTAACTCACTCAACTGCTACATCTGTTCATGTCTAAACAGGCCCCAAGAGCTGGGAGGAGGTGAGGGACTACCATGGTTCTCTCTAGCTTGAGGGAAATGTTTGTTTTAAGAACCAGTTTCTCTAGAAAGTTCCATAGGAGTTGTTTGATTGGCAGTGGGATGTCTTCCCTTCTGGTGCTGAACTGTAAGTTTCCTGACAACTGCTATCTACCTAGAGCTAAGAGTATCAGACATGCTTCAGGAGCCTAGGCCTGAACCAGCAGTCCCCAGGGGCAACATCCCTTGGAGAGCCAGTTATCAGGCCAGTTCTGAGAGCAATGAGGGGTGTCAGGGTAAGGGGTCCACTCCACTCCATCTGGGAAGCCTAGTCCTTCTGAGCGGCTCATGGGGCGCTCGCCTAGTGGAGGCCATTTCCCAGGGTTTGTGGACTCTGTGCTGGGCCAGTAGTCTCATTGAAGGAAGGTCTCTTGCTAGTTGCAAAGCATGCCATCCTGCCCTGGTGCTGGTCCGTCCTGCCAGGGACCTTGTTGAAGGTCTTTCCTGATGACAGTTGTCATACTGAACCCTGGCCAAAGGTGAGGCCACAGTGTCTGCCCTCAGTGACCCCAGACTGAGCCCTACTGGTGAGGTTAGCAGTGAAGGTCGAACTGCCAGAAGGTTGTACTTCAGCCCAGGAAATGGGTTGGCTGCAACCCAGGGAGGGGAGGCTGTCAGAGGTACCATTCTGTTAGTAGAAGCACAGGGCATTCTGCTTCCTGGTCCCTCCAGAGCCAGGTGTGGCCGTGTCTGATGGGGGGTGCTGGCTGCAGTTGGTCCTGTGTCTAGCTAAAGGGGATGTGTGATAAAACACAGGCTTTCAGAACCACCTGCACCTGTTCATTTCAGGGGAGGTGGGCTTCAGCCAGGCAGGCCCCTGATTCCTGGTTCTTAGGTCAGATGGGTGACTAGAGGGCCCTCAGTTTGTGAAAGGGCCACCCTTCTCCCCCAGAAAACCTCTGAATTCTTGGAGCGTGACCAGCCCAGCTACTGGGTATGGGAGGGGAGGACCCCTTGGCTCATGATGCTACACTGTAACCAGAGAACACAGCCAATGATCTTATGGCCCTGGCATTTGGCAGTCGCTCCCAACAGAGCGGAAAAGAATTTCACAGAAAGGAAGTGGAAGGACTTGGAAAGAGTTGGACTTGGGGGCCACCGTGTAGCACACTGCTGCCTTCCAGTGCAGGAATCTGGCAGCTGTGGAGTCCTGTGTGCTGGGCCCCCCAGGGGCCTTGTGCTGCCTAGGAGGAGGGGCAGAGTGGCCTCATCTCCAGCACTCAGGCTGCGGGCATGACTTGGCTTCAGAACATCCCAGAGTGGACACAGGGCCCCAGCATTTCTGGTGAGAAGGGAATGTTGTAACAGCTAAGATTGTGATGGACCGCTGGCCTCTTAGTCCTCTTTGCTCTCAGCCTTAGGGCAGCAGACACTAAGACCTTACAGCCATGCCCCACCTACCACAGCCGTGTTCATGCTACACCATGTCCAGTCAAAACACAGAGCTTAAGGAGCATGTGACAGAAAATGATTCACAGGGAGCTGTGCAGCAGGTGGTGGCACGCAGAGAGGTGCTGTGCCCCCTGAGGACATGCTCTGCAGCATCCCTCATCTTCGAGGGGCTCTGTGACCCAGCTTGCCCTGTAAAGTTGGGGTTCAGCATTTTTCCCTCCTACTCAGTGGGGGCCCGGTCAGCCCAGCTCCTCCTAATCAGGGCCCAATGTGAGGTATAGTATCCTTACACACTCACAGAGCATCCTCCCCAGCATGCCTGCATACCACCAGTCCCCCTTCCTAGTAGAGCTCTTATCTATGAGCATGCCTGCTGCCCAAGTATTGTTTTCCAGGCCATGTAGTGTGCTTGATGGTTCCAACAGCCCTTACAGGAGGACATAGGCAGCTGTGGCTGGCTTGGGACGGCGCCAGGAGTGAAACAAGGGTGTGATATGAGTCACTGGCGACCCTGGGGCGCCTCGGAAGTCTTGAAGCAGGAGCCTGTACTGGGAGTCTTCACATGGCCCTCTGCAGCATGATGGTGGTGGCAGGGAGCAGCATCAGGCAAGGAGAAGCTGCTCCAGCTCCCTGGCACTCTGACAGGCTTGCGGGGGTCAGAATCAGACTCTGGTGTCATTGTAGAAACCGTGATAGGAAAGCTGCCTTTGGAGCCTGGCTTTTCACATTGTCCGGTTTGATTTGTCTCCAGCTGGCTCCCAGTGCAGGTGGTGCTGCAGGTGGTGGTGCTGGGCTCTGTCTCCTCCTCCTCTGCAGTAGCGAGAGGTTTTACCTGTGGCTGTGCTGTTCCTGCAGTCAGAGTGGGGAGAATTGGGGGCCCCACCTCAGCTCCTCTCTCCATCTTGGAGTGTCTACTTTGACCTTGAGGCCGTAGAAGCATGGCAAGGCCTGCAGAGTGGGTCACTGAGATTTGGCTAAGAGGTGACTGTCCAGAGGTCACTGAGTAGCAGAGGTTAGAGGGCAAGGGTGGGCAGGTGTGTGGACACGCCCTCCCTAGCTCAATTTCCTTGTCCCCTTACAGCTCCCAGAACGCCACTATTGCCTGGTCCATTCCCATGCAGCCACCTCACCACATGTCCCTCTCTTTGCAGAGAATGGTGCTGAGGAGGTCCGACTGCTGCAGCTCCTCGGGGACCCTCTGCCCCAGCATATCTCGCAGATCGATGACCCTGATGTTGGGCCGGCCTACGTCTTTGGACGGGACTCCGGCAGTGGCCAGGTGGCCCAGCACCACTTCCCTAGACTCTTCTTCCGTGACTTCTCGCTGCTGTTCCACATTCAGCCGGCCACGGGGGATGCAGGGGTGCTGTTTGCCATTACAGATACAGCACAGGAAGTGGTCTCCCTGGGGGTGAAGCTCTCAGGGGTGTACAGTGGGCACCAGAACGTCTCATTGCTCTATACAGAACATGGCGCCAGCCAGACCCAGACAGGCGTCAGCTTCCGCCTGCCTGCGTTCGTCGGCCAGTGGACACATTTTGCACTCAGTGTGGATGGCAGCTCAGTGGCTCTGTATGTGGACTGTGAGGAGTTCCAGAGAGTGCCATTTCCTCGGTCCTCACAGGGCCTGGAGCTGGAGCGTGGCGCTGGCCTCTTTGTAGGCCAGGCTGGAGCAGCAGACCCTGACAAGTTCCAGGTAATCCATGCTGTCCTGCTGTGAGGTCCACTTGTGGGGCAGGCACGTCCATCTGGTGCTGCAGATGGGACAGCACTGCCTGACTCCTTGCAGGTGACCATCTGGCCTCAGGTACAGGCCCCTTAATCCTCAGTCCTGGGTGGGGTGGCATTTGCCCCTCCCACAGTCTCTTATCCTTTGGCACTCAGGAAATGTCACCCTGGATTTTTGTAATTTCTCTAAGACCCCAGGGTTCACAGGATGGCTGCTAGAGACCGTCTCGTCCTTGGGCCCCCATCTTGTGTTCATCCAGATCCCTTCCCAGGTGTGAGCCCAGGCCTGTGGTGAATTGGGGACACCAAACCTTGATTGGGAGAATGTGGGGTTCCGTCCAGCTCAGCTACTCGGTCTAAAAAAATGAAAGCTCAGGTGCATTGTGGAAATGTTAACAAGTCAGGCATGGGGGCAACACCCATGGTCCCAACAGACTGAGGTAGGAGGTTCTGGAGTTCCAGGCTACCCTGTCTCAAAGACAAAATGACAAAAATTAATAATTTGGAGCTGGAACAGTGGGGTCTTTCCATAGCCGCACACACATTTGAGGGCGCACCTTGCTGGCAGGCTGAGACGTCACACAACAGCCCTGCGCAAATCAGCCATGCTGGACTACTTATTTTTAACAAAAGCTGTGTGACTATCTCCACAGCACCCTGGGTGCAGCATGTGGCCATCTCCTGTGTCCCCAGGGAAGTCCTTCACTTCTGGGCCTTCATTTCTGTCTGAGGGCCCTCTTCCTGGAACACCCAGCTGGACTCCCAGCCTGCTTGGAATGGTGCGTGGGTGCCGTCAGCTGGCGCTGACTTAATACTGTAGCCATCCTCAGCTTGGCCCAGACAGGGGTCTCTGTGTATGCTAAGGAGCACATGTCCTCAGGGGACAGACTCTTGATTGTAGCCCAGACAAGGGTTACTGTTGTAAGTTGTTCTAAGTCCTGCATCCACAGCTCTGAAGGCTGAACTTCCACCTCTGGCAGGAACTTTTAACCCACAGGACTCAGGAGCCACTGGGACTTTGGAACCAAACTGGACCCCTTTGTGTTTTCTTTCTGATCCTCAAACATGATTACTGGGAAAGCTGAGTGCCCTCGTGTCCAGAGCAGAGTGTTTGTGCTGTGTAGTTCCTGGCTGTGGGGAGTGGAAGGGGGCAGACTCTGCAGAATCTGTACCTCCCCTTCACCAGCAAGGCTGGATGAGGGATGTAGGACCCAGCTCCTGAGCACACAGCCTCACCCAGTGGAAGGGGGCACAGACACCTGGAGTGAGGCAGCCCTACCTCTGGGCCTTGTCAGGCTGAGTGAAACAGGTTTGCCTGTTGGATATGCAGATAAGCCATATCTGGACATTTTCATTTGTGTTCTTACTCTGTTCCTGGAAGCAGATTTTTCTTTTTCCCTTTCTTTGTAGTTTTGGGGATAGGTTCAGCCTTTTTTTTTTGTTGTTGTTGTTGTTGTTTCATTGATCTATGCAAACTCTTTATATATGAAAGAAACGGATTCTTGGCTGTGCATACACAAATTTTATTTCTTAGCATGCCATTTGCCTTTTCACTTAAAAAAGGGAGGAGCATGTAAAGTATGTATGTGGTTAAATTAGTCATAGAGAAAACACCCACAACTTTCAATCTGCAAAATCTTTGGTGGTTGGGAAGAGGGAGGCAAAGAGCATACAGGGCCCTGTGAGGGTCAAGGGCTATAGGCTACTCTACAGCTGACCTCGGCAGTCTAACCCTGACAGTTCCCAGGGATTAGGCCTCGGGATCTTTTTGGAAGCTTTAAGTCAGGTGGGGCGTGGGAAGTGTGCTGAATAGGTCGAAATGTTTGCAGAATTGTGCTTAGGTTCTTGGGGAGGAATCACTGTGTTGTGTGACTGATGGCATTACAGAGGCCAACACTGAGCTTTGGGAGCCTGGGAGCCAGGGAACAGGAAGGACCGGGGGAGCCTGGGAGCTGGGCTTCCTCTGAGTCCTCTCAGGTGAGGATGCTTTGCCCCACCTACATCCACACACTGCCAGGTCAAGAACCTGGCTGTACCTCTGTCCTCCCGCTTGGTCCCTGCTGGGTTGCAGTCCCCAGGGAGCGCTATCTGTCTGCTCATCTGTTCCTCTGAGTTTGGTAATGGATCTCTCCATCTGTGTTTCCTTAAAGCCTGGCTTCCGACTGCAGCGTTGCAGATGCTCTGTCTGTTATTTCACGTGTTCTGTAGTGAGATTTTTTTGATGTGATTTCTCCTATTACAGATGCCTGTTTCCTCATTCTTTCGGTTTGCTTTAGTCTTGCCCTGTGTGGACGTGCCACGGAAGGACTGAGCCCAGGGCCTTCCACATGCCGTGTTGGCGCTCACCACTTAGCCTGACCCAGCCCTCTTCGCTTGGGGTTTCTTTTGTGGTTCTCCTTCATCTGTAGCCATTGGCTTATTAAGATTTACTGCTTGTGACCCCAAGAGACACCCCATTGGGGTCCCAGCTTCCCTGGCATTCTCACTCAGCCGCAAGCACCTCAAGGCCAATATTTATTTCTAGATGTAAACTCAGTAATAGAAATACCTGAAGCTGTGACTTTTCCTTGGGGTGTAGCTATGGCTGCACTATAAAAAGTAAATGGTGGGAATACTGGAGCCAAGAGGTTGCCTACCAGCCACGTTGAGTTCATGACATCAGAAGAGGCTTCCCACGTGAGGGGTGGAGCAGGCAGCGAAGGCTCAGAACTTAACTCCAGCAGTCCTGTTGACCAAGAGCACGGGTCACCCCAAAGTCCAATGGCAGCCTGTCTCCCAGGGTGTTTCTTGGCAGTCTTTCCCATCAGCTCCTGCTCAACACCCCCTTTCATAATGCTCAGTGGACCCCTCTTTTATTCATCTAAAGGGAGAGTGACTTGTGATAGGCACTGTGCCATAGCACTAATACAGTTTTCTTCCCGAGCAAGTGAAGAGACCACAGGAGGTTGTTGTGATGAAGAGACCTACTGGGGCCCGGCCACAGGTGAGGGGACTCTAAGCCAGAGGCCCACAAAGCAATGTTCAAGAATGACCATAAGGGCAGTGCTCACCCAGCATGGCAGGTCTGAGCAGACAGAATAGCCATGACTTGGTTACAGGGCAGCAGGGACCAGGCTGGCCACCCTAGGTAGGGAAGGGAAACCAGAGGAGGAGGAGGCGGGGCCTGATGACCATCTGACTGAGGGAGAAAGCGTGGCGCCAAGAGGCTGCCCTGGAGGCCATGAGGAATCCCAGATGCGGGACTAGACAGAACCAGCAGATGGCCTCCCGCTAGGACTGTAGCCTCTGGCTTCTGCTGGGTGGCCACCTGCCTCTGCTGCAGCAGCTCAGAGTGGGTCAAGACAGTCCATGCTTCCTGGTGACGCTGGTCAGTTCTGGTCACTTTGTCACTTTTATATGGTTAAGGACAGCATGGTAGGAAAGCTTTCACATGGTCCTTATCCATGAACAGCTCATAGTCCCTCAGTTTCCAAGGTCCAGATTTCATAACTTTTGGCTCTAAGTCCACTAAATATTTGTGGTGGGTCTTGTGGCTTTTTTTTGTACAGTTGGATATCCCACATTGAATGTTGGAAGAGGTCCAGACTGAGGCAGCTCCAGACTGGGCAGGAGCAGGATGTAAGGCAGGATCCAGGGAAGACAAAGGCTTTTCTGCCCTTTGCAGGCTCCTACTCACAGGTATCCCACAGCCTTGGCAGAGCGTGTGGCACCATCTACAGCAGTAGACCGGTCTGTGGGGAACCCCCGGGCCCTCCTCCAGTGCTGAGATCACCCAGAAGGTTCCTGAAGCTAGTGTTGCCCTTAGGAAGCAATTTTCTAATATTTAATCCCAACTCCTCCTGACCTCAGGGGTTCTTGCTGGTCACTGTGACACCCCTGCTGAGGCAGCTCTGTGTGGGCATCTTGAGGTGCTCATCCTGATCCTAGGTGATGCTGGTGGGTTGACCTGGGAGGCTGGTTGGCAGGAAGTGGTTTTCTTCCTCTGCATCGGTAAGCCCTGTATATTCTGTCTGTGCAGGGCTCTTAGACATGCTTGGGCGATGCTAGGTCTGTGTTCTTACTTGCAACACACACACACACACACACACACACCCAATATCTCTCATACCCAATCACGTGCACTTACACACTATTCTGTTGCTGTTAGACATGCGTGGGCGATGTTAGGTCTGTGTTCTTACTTGCAACACACACACACACACACACACACACACACACACACCCAATATCTCTCATACCCAATCACGTGCACTTACACACTATTCTGTTGCTGGCTGGAGCTCCCAGAACCCCCTTGGACCAGACACAGCCAAACCATTCCTCACCTGCTGGTCCAATACTGTCCCTCTGTTCCTTTGTGGGCACAGACCCCTGCTGTATCTTTTCCCTGACCTAGAGGCCTTCTGACCCTCAGATTGCTGTAGCACAGGGGATAAGGGACATGGAGCCGTACTAGCACAGTGTTGGCTCTGAGGGTCAAGCCCTGTTTCTGTGGCCCACTGTGGCCCACAGGGCTAACATAGGCCGGGGTCTTCTTTCTGCCCCTCCTCCCTAGAGGCCTTCTTCCCCTGACCAGTACATTGAATGTGCCACAGTTAGGCGGGGAGAACAAGCCTGCTGTGATACTACACCGCTGTAGTTATCTCGTGACTTGGACCCTTAGTGAAGGAGTGGTAGGTGTGATTCCTGAGTATGTGCCCCATTGCCATAAAATTAACACTCATGGCCAGGGATGGCCTTGGCCTGGCTGTAGATGACCAAGTCAGGATATTTTTGGTCATCTATAGGGTATTTAGGTGTCCCCTGGGGTTTACTTCGCATGCTCTCTCTCTCTTACTTGGGTTCTAGTCACCTGGCTCCTCATTCACTACCAGGGCAAACCAAGGTGTACATACACAAGCACATGGGCTTTTCCATCATAGGAAAGGATGTGCAGAATGAGGGGTCTGGGGTAGATCTGGTTCAGGGTGGCCTTGACCCCCTGGATGATATCAGGGATTAGTTCCTGGAGGAGCCAGGTAGAGCTGAGCATTGAGAGATGAGAGAGACCTCAGGCCACGGCCCAGCTGGGGCCTGGGGGGTGATGGTTGTCACCTGTCACCTGGTGGGGACAGGGAGGTATGATTGAGGTCAGCTGATGAGGTGTTTGGATTCAGGTCATTCCTGGGATAAACAAGATCTGTCAGTAGGCACAGCATGGGACAGAGCCAGAGAGCCAATACCTGCTGTGGCACAGCCTACAAGAGGTTCTGTCCATTACGTTTCCAAATGACTGGGAAAACCCAAAGGCTATTTTGTGATGTGAAAAGTGGTAGGAAATCCAGATTTAGTGTCACACCATTCACGTAACATCAACAGTGAATTTCACACACAACAGACTAAAAAGTCCTGGGAAGGTACCAACCATCCAGCCTCACAGAAGTCCACCCACTCCCACACAGGCCTTTCTTTGATGCGAACCATTAGGAAGTCACTTCAGAATTGTGTGGTCTCTATTTAGTAAACGGAAATAAATCCAGCAGAGTAAAATATAAAGTAACAACAAAAACTGGGAAAAGAATGTGTGATTTCTATACTGTCCTACAGGAAAGCTTTCAGTGTTCTCAGACACACCCAGGGCACACTTGAGAGTTGGAAACAAAGCATAGGGTGCAGGGCCCAACTTCATGTTGGGGGAGCCCCGTGTGTGTGGCAGGTCAGGGGCTGGGGGGATCCTGGCCTCAGGGATGCCCACCCTGCGGCTTGTCCCTAGTGGAGCCCCACCCCCATCCCTACAGACTCTCCACCGCAGGCCCTCATTGCTCACACTCCTGGACACTGATGGCCTTCCCGGTGAATGCTGCAGTGAGAGCTCCGTCCTTGGATCTGTGGTCTTGGGCTAGGCTCGAGGCCAGCGTGTGTCGGAGCTGCACCTGTTTCCAGAGCCCCAGGGTATTAGTTTCTCTCATTGTTTCTGTGACCAGTATCTGACAAAAAACAGTTTAAGAAAGGAAGGGATTATTTTGGCTTGCAGTTTTAGAGGACACAGTCTGTCATGGGCAGGAGAGCATGGAGGCAGGGTCACATTGTATAGGTGGTCAGAAAGCAGAGGGTGAACAGGAAATAGGGCTGGGCTATAAAACCTCCAGGCCCATTCCTCTATAACCCACTTCCTCCAGTGAGTCGCCATCTCCTAAAGGTTCTTTAACCTTCCCACACAGTGTCACCAGCTGGGGGCCAAGTATTCAAACACACGTGCCCATCGGGAGATAGTTCACTTACAAACCACAACAACCTAGTGATCTTCTCCCTTTGTTTAGGGGAAGATCTCCGAACTGAGAGTACGCAGAAACCCCCATGTGAGCCCTGTGCACTGCCTGGATGAGGAGGAGGAGGATGAAGACAGGGTGAGTGATGTGGATGGAAGGTCCCAAAGTGATATACTAGGAAAAGCCAAAAGATACCAGTTGAGTGCCAGGAATCCGTGGCTTCAGATCCTGTCCCTTGTCTCAACTTCCCATTTTGGACAACCTGGGGAATGCAAATATCAAAGACCACCCCACAGAGGTACTATATGATAAAGAGGGTTCCAGAGTGAAAAAGCACGTGCGTGCATGTCTTTGTATGATGTGTTTGTGGTTCTGTGTCTCTGTGTTGTATGTGATGTATGTGTTTCTCAGAATGCTGTGTGTGGCTATTGTGCGGTATATATGCGTAGCTTTGGTTTTTGTCTGTGTGCTATGTGTGCTTCATTGTGTGTGCATATAATTTTTGTCTGCTGTTATCTGTGTGCTGTGTATTGTCTCTGTGCTGTGTCTAATATATGTGATAATATGTATTTGTGTCTGTTGTGTGTGATGTGTGCATCATATGCTGTGTATGTCTGTTGTATGTGGTGTGGGTGGGTATAGCCTGTGTGCTGTATGTGTTTATTTGTATGTGTCTACTGTGTGTCTCTGTTGTCTGTGTGTGTGTCTCCATGTGGTGTGTGCGGGGGTGCCTATTTTCTGTATACTGTGTGTGTTGTTTGTGGTGTGCTCTGTGTATGCTGTGTTTGCTCTGCTGTTTCTCCATGTGCTCTGTGTGACTCTTTGTGTTTTGCATGATATATGTGTATGCCATGTGTGGTATTATGTGTGTATGTGATATGCTGTGATGCTCGGTTGTCTGTTGTGTATGGTGTAGGTGTATGGTCTGTGTGCCATGTATTGTATGTGTCTGTATGCTCTGTGTGTGTGTACTCTGTGTGCTGTGTGTGTCTGTGCCTACTGTGTCTCTCTGTGTGCTTGTCTCTGTGAGATGTGTGGTTGCCTGTTGATTGTATGCTATGTTTGTTATCTGTTTTTGCATGTGCATAATCTCATGACACCGAAGGAAGACAACTCACCAGTTCCCAGAGGGCAGGACAGGAGGAAAAGCCATGTCCTGAGGGAATCAGTATATCACAATATACCCCCTAGCCATACATAGCTTGTGGGTAGCTGTGGGCAGTGGGGTCTGTCTGCCTTATACTCACATGTTTTTTAATATTTTACACTATAGAGCTGTGGCTTTTTCTAGGAGAGAAATCAGAAACGTGATTGGCTTCTATCTACTGCCAGTCTCTAGTGAGTGGGTAAGCCTTGCTTCTGGGCATGGCTTCCAGTGAACACAGATACACACTGCCCATCTGGGTATCTGTACCTCCACCCCAAATGGGCCACTTTGACACTGAGGTCACTATGGGCCCAGGTGGTGTTTCTCCCCCAGGTTTATATTAAGATAAGCACCTTGGCAGGGGACAGGTTGCAGGGAAAGCAGAGCACAAGGACGGGCAGCCCAGGCAGGTGATGGGTAAAGACGTGACCACCAGGCACTGACATTCGACATACACTTCTTCAATGGCAACCTGGACTTGGACACACTGACAGGCTGCTCAGGGTGCCTGCCTGCCCGCTTGGCCTGTCCCCCAAGGATGCCATCCTAAAACAGGGTGGCCACGTCACAGGAAAGGGACACAAGTGTGCATCCCTCTGGAGAGCTGTCCTGGATGCTGAAGAGCAAGTCTGGCAGCTGGCAGCTGACTCGATAGGGGCTGAGGTCTTGTTTTATGTCCAGTTGCTGCCCCGTCATTGGCCCTCTGGTGGTGATGTCTCCCTTGCCTCTCTTACACCCTGCAGGCGTCTGGGGACTTTGGAAGCGGCCTGGAAGAGAGCAGTGAGCCATGGGGGGAGGAGGTGAGTCATTGTGTGTGATGAGGCTGCCCCTGGTTCCCTAAGGGAGATCTCACAGGTACAGTCTGGGCATCTCATCCTGGCAGTTCCTCTGTCCTGAAGGCAAATGCCCAGCCAGGACAGGTAGATGCCATAGCCTCCCTCTGCCTCTGCTGCCTTGGCTTCTGGGCAGGAGGGTCTGTGCTAAAGAGAGCTTTTAGATTAGATGCTACCTTAGAATTCTGTTTGCACTGCTGGCTTATGTCTGATATGAGAACAAAGCAAGTGGCATTGTGGGGAAGTTTCTGGAAAGCCACACTGTGTGTGTTTTTTCCAGCCCAACCCCCTGAGAACACAGAAGGAGCCAGGGGCAGAGGGTCCCAGATACGAAAGGGATATTTGGATGAACCTCTTGGACCCATCCAGTGCCCCCAGCATCTAGTGTGCAGATTCTGTCCTGGAGGTGGATTTTGCCCTGGATGCTGGCAGCAGGGCCATCAAGATGGCAGGCTGCTAAGTGGCCCCATGATGGGCAGTAGTCCCTTCCCCATCCCTAGAAGAGGTGTTGGGACCCCCCTGACCTTTGCACTGGGATAGGGACAGGCCATTGAGGACTGCATTCTGGTATCCAACAGAGTGCTTGAACACATCCCTGTGGATAGTGGCCCAATGATAGCCTTGCTCAGGGTCCAATAGCCTATGTCTCTCGATGACCACAAGCCCTCCTCCTCATAGATGTGGGTTGGATTTTCCAGCTACTGCTTCTGCACAGGACGCCCTGGGTACAGCACGTGCTGGGAGTACAGAGATACCTGTGGGTGTCATGCCACCCCAGGCTGAAGCAGTGTAACAGTGCCCATAGACTAGGGATTGCTAGCAACCAACTCAGGTACCCACACCTCAGTCTTCCTCATGACCTACCCATTCAAACCAGGAGCCAGACCCTGCCTTGGGAAGCACTCGAGAAAACCCCACCCCAAAGGTAACTATGAAGGGCTCCCTGGCCAATCTGAGGGTCCATGTGGAAGTTTCCTCTTGGAGATCAGCGCCATGGACCTCTGGTCTAGCATATCCACCTGAGCCTGCAGTGTCTGTGGTATGATGGTGACATTAACAGTGTCCAGGGAAGCCTTCAGTCAAGCTTTTATGGAGCTGCCCTGATGATCCCTGGGGCCCGTCTACTAGACCACATTGTCACTGATAGCATACAGACCATGCTAGTGTGAGCCAAGAGGTCCCTGGCTGCATTTTTGAAACTGGGCATAGGAAAGAAGATGTGAAAGGCAGAGAAGTTTCCTCCCCACCAGCAGTAGGAAGTCAGTGTTGAGCCAGCGCTTGGGCTGGGGCCAAGGGAGAAGTCTCTGTTATAACCCTCAGTGAGAACACAATTGCTCTACTGACTCCAGAGTGACATTGGAGGGCCCTCCTTCAGATGTCTGTGATGCTAAAACTCACCCTCTAATGACCCCTGACCACAGGAAGCTCCTGTCCTGAGCCTCAGGAAGCTCTTGTTCATGATACTCTGGTAGTGTCAAGGCTTAGGAATTAGGGACCCTCTAGGTACATGACCCCAACCCTCAGGCTGATGAAAACCCTTAAGCAAACAACTCTGAAGAGTCTTGGAAATTCATTCCAACTAAAATGATGTTTTCCTTATCTCTCTGAAAGCCTGTAAGGATTTGTTTCATAAGCTGTCAACCCAAGCCAGACAGAGCTGCCGGCTCATGTATGCATGAGACAGCTGTGTTCACTGAGTAATGGAGTCAGGTTTTCGGTTTTTATCTTTCAGGGTACATCCCTACCACCGAGGCTCCCCCAGCCTCCCCCTGTCACTTCTCCTCCCTTGGCTGGAGGCAGCACCACTGAGGATTCTAGAACAGAAGAAATCGAGGAAGAAACCATAGTGGATTCAGTAGGAGGTAAAACTTTTCTAGGTGTGCTATGTGTGTACGTGTGTGTGTGTGTGTGTACGTGTGTGTGTGTGTGTCTGTATGTGTGCGTGTGTGTGTGTGTGTGCGTAGGAGAGCAAAAGGGACTACAGGGTTGCTAAGAAGGTTCAAGGGAGGACTCATGTAGGGAAAAACACGTTGTTAGCTCAGGCTCTGCCTCAGGTCAACAAATGGGGTTGGAGATGTCCTCCTCAATGAAGGCAGCTATTTGGGCCACACACATGGGGCTACTGATCTGCAGTAGATCTGGGATACCAGAGACGTGTCGTATGTGAATTGTATGTCTTTGGGTATTCTGTGTGCTGCTGGGTTACTAACCCCAGTAATCATCATAAACACTCTCTTCCACCTCACAGCTGTATGGGATAGAAGCACAGCAGAGCCTTATAGATAGTTCTAGGGTTTATGGGCGGATCTTAGAGTGTCCATGGGATTCCTGAAGGCTTTGAGGAGAACAGACTCCGCTGCAGCTCCCCCTGGTATCGACAAGACTCAGGCCCTCACAGCTGTAGAACATAGAGTCCAAGTTCCCACCAGACTACCAGCCTTTGGGACTGCTCACCTTTGTCAGCCAAGTCAGCCAAGGCTGGCAAAATGCCCACCTTCTGGGTCATGAGTTGGGGGACTCACATCCTCCCTGGGCTGTGTGGGCCCATGTGCCTGGAGGTCAGCCTTGCCCTGACCACCTGTGCCCTGGGGTCTCAGGGAAGGCAGAGAGCATGGCCTCACCCTACTGGCAGTCCCACTCCCACCCTACTGCTCTGTCCTTTGTGACCACAGACAATTGACCTTTCCCAGAGTGTCATAAGTGGTGACACACAATAGTGCCTTGTGCCTTTTTCTGGACTGATTGGCATTGTGTCCTTTTTTTTTTATAAAGTTCACCCACATCATAGCTGGTCAGTTGTTGGCCCATCATCCATGGCATGGACAGACCACAGTGTACTTGCCCATTTATCCGGTGATGGGTGTCTGGGGTGTTTGGGGCAGTTTAAGAGGAAGCTGTTCTGGGGCTTCTGTCCCATCTTACACCAGCTATCACACAAGTTGTTTACCACCGCAGTGTATGGCAGTCCTTTCCGTGTCATGGATTCGAGGCAGCCTGCCTTATGCCTTCATTTTCACCTCCATGACAATGGACATCTTTTCATGTGCTTGTGTCTCAGTAAATATCCACATCCCATGCATGGTTTTTAATGGACCGTGTGTTTTCTTATTGTTGAGTTTTGAGAGTCCGTTATTCTGGGTTCAATCTCTTTGTCTTATATCCATTCCTTTCTCTCCGCCCCCCCCCCCCCTCTTCCCAACCCTCTTGGAAGCACTATGTAGTTCAGACTGGTGACTCAGTTTTGAACTTGTGACCCTCCTACCTCAGCCTCTTGAGTGCTGGGATTACAGGCGTGAGACACCATGACCAGCTTTATTTTTTTTTATCTGTGAGTGCCCTCCACTTATGTGCAGGTTCTGGTGGAGGCCAGAAATGGCATTGGATCCCCTAGAACTGGAGTAGGCAGTTATAAGCCACCTTACAACTTGGAATTTGGGTCATGGGAACCAAACCAAGCTCCTCTACAGGGTTAGTAAATTGCTCTTTAGAAACTGTTTACGGGGCAGGGCATGGTGGCACACACCTTTAATCCCAGCACTCAGGAGGCAGAGGCAGGTAAATCTCTATAAGATTGAGGCTAGTCTGGTCTACATAGCAAGTTCCAGGCCAGCTGGGGCTACAAGGAGACCCTGTTTCAAAAAACAAACAACAAAAAAAACCCCCAAAAGACAAAAATAAAAACTTTGCCTGTGTCTCCAGTCACTGTCACTGTTAGAAAAACTTCTTTCTCCTGCTGAGACTCTGTCTTTGTAAATGACCCATACCAGTGTCTCTTTCTGAGCTGTTGCTCTCCCCATCTGTCCCCCTGAGCTGTGGATCTCCCCTCCTGTCCTGAGCTGTGGCTCTCCCTCTAAGCAGTGAATCCCAGATCCTGCCCGTGTTGACTGCATTTGTCTTGCCCTGGTCAGGTAGACCCAGCCCTCCCATCCTTTTGCATATTCACTTGAATTTTGGATTCTAGTTGTTGCCATTCACACATCCATAAAGAAGAAGTAAAGAGCCTGCTGGGATTTGGGTAGGGATGGGTTGGTAGCCTTGACACCTTGCTAATGACTCTTAAGACCCATCAATGCCTTTGATTTAGGTCTTGTTTGGTTTCTCTTAACAATGTTTATACAGTTTTAAATGTCCCCTAAGGCAGGGATTTCAGGTTTGCTGTCTGAGCATCCCATGACCATTGCATGGAGAGCCTATGCTGCCCCCTTGTGGCCAGAGGTGGCTGTCTGCTCCTGCAGGTGGACCGTGTTTACGGCTGTGGGTGTTGGTTACTAGAGCATCCTGATTCGGGTGCAAGAATGGCTTGCTCCTTGCTAAACAGGTGAGCCCATAACAGGGTGTCAGCAAGTACTGTCACCAGTGACCCTCTGCCAGACAGCATTCTCCGCCTTACAGGCCACAAGTGGATATGTTTCCAATTACTTTGGGGACAAACCTCCCCCAGAGCCCTGAAAATGAGCGAGGAACCTGAGCACACTGTGTGTGCAGCCTGGAGAAGTGTGGCGGCGGGGGGAGGGGGTGTCTTCCCCAGGGTTGGCCAGTCCTCATGTGTGACTACAGAGCCTGAATCCTACCAGCTACCTAGCTCAGCTGGGGATGACTGAGCACAGATCCCAACCTAAAATAGGGGGGCTCTGTGCCCCAACTAAGGGCATTAGATGCCCCCAAGCAGCACTCAGGAATTGGAAACTTCTGTGGGTCCCCAAGATGTGTGGCATGCTGACATAGTAAATTTCATACTGTCTGGAGTCCATGGTGCTAAAACACATAATGAGAGATTATTGGGAGCCACCTCCAAGTGTCACCCCACTAATCACAAGGATATAGTGCCCCAGAAGCCCAGAGAGGATCTATCACCTGTGCAGTTCCAATGAAAATGTGCTCCTGAGCCATAGCAGATAGCCAAGCACGGGGCCGGGGGGAGGGCAGAGGAAGTAATGACTGGTGGGGTCACTTCCACCTCGGACCTGAGGGCCACCTGGATCTCTGGGCGTTTTCTCTCTGTGACTTTTGTGATCATTGAACATTTCTTGTTTTTATAAAACTGTAAGAACCATTCTTAACTCAAAAGCTGTTTAGAACCAAGCAGTAGGCTGACAGGGCTGAGATTTGACCCCGGGCAGCGCTTGCTAATCAGGCACATAAAAGGCACAAAACTGAGAGAACTGGAGATCCTAGTTTGATGTTCCCGTGGTCACCATCCCCAGAGAAGAAGCCAAAAGAGACCGGAGTGCAGACCGTGTTGGGGTCAGCACAGGCAGCAGGGTTGGACTCCCTGAATGTGGCACAGACTTGTGAAGGACGAATGACATTACCCTCCTGAGACATCATGGTATTCAGGGCAGAGGTCATGATAAATTCCACAGATGCTCAGATAGTTGTAGAAAAGAAAACAAAATGTGTGTGTGTGTGTGTGTGTGTGTGTGTGTATGTGTACATACATATGTGTGCGTGTGTGCCTGCCTGCATTTGCCTGCCTGCATGTGCGGGAATTCAAATTCACCACTGTGTGTGCATACATGTATGCCTGCTTGTATGTGTGAATTGACCACTGTGTGCATGTGTACTCGTGTTTGTGTGTGTGTGTGTGTGTGTGTGTGTGTGTGTGTGTACATGTGCCTTTGTGTATCAGAGCTGCGATGTAGGTAATGGGATATGGGTAGGTCTGTTAGGTTCATCCCTCAAGATTTCTGTTGGGTTTTAGTTTTTCAAATTACATATTGAAAGGAGAAAAAGTAGTAAGAAGGGCCTCTTGATGGTGAGGTGTTAAAACACATCCAGGAAGAATCTTCTGGAAGGCTTCAGTGTCACTGGGGTTGCATAGAATGGCTGTGTGACTTTGTGTTGACTGTGATTCTTTCCTCCTGGTGGGTAGCCATGCCCATTGTCCCCCAACCCTGGGCTCTTGGTTTCCTCGAAGAGGGTAAGGCTTGGGTAGCTGGGCTGAGAGCAGAGTCTGGGACTGCTCTGGGCTTGACAGTGTCTACCTCCCTGCCTCTTCCCAGCTGAGACCCTTCCTGGCACAGATTCAAGTGGTGCTTGGGATGAGAGTGTCCGGAGCCCTGGAGGCGGCCTGATGAAGGTGAAGCTACTTCCTATGCCCCTGACCCAGGGCACCCAGAGCCCTCAGTGCCTTCTGCTCCTTTCACTGTGACTCTAACAATGCCCTTAGGCCCACACCCCTCCCTTGGTCTGCTGTCCCGTGCCTTGTACATGACGGTGCCTCTGCCCTGTGCCCCATACATGGTGCTTTTGCCCTATACCTGGCACACAGTGCCTCTGCCCCATGCCCTGCACACAGACAGTGTCTCTGCCCTGTGCTTTGCACACTGCCTCTGCATAGCCATCCTGCAAATCCCCCTACCATAAGTCTTCCCTGCATGTCCCCTGGAGTACCCCCTGAGACTCAGGGCCTGGGAGAGTCCAGGAGCAGTGTGAGGTGAATTTGTATACAGAATACTGCAACCTATGCCTTCTTGTCCTCTTTGTCCCTAGGGCGGTCAGAAGGGGCAAAAGGGGGAACCAGGTGCTCCGGGCCTACCTGGCCCAATTGGTCCCCAGGGTCCCGAAGGCCCAGTGGTACAGAGTCCCAATGTACAACCTGTCCCTGGGGCACAGGGACTTCCAGGACCCCAGGGGCCACCTGGGAAGGATGGTGCTCCAGGAAGGGATGGTGAGCCAGTAAGTACTAGCCTCCCATGGGTGGTCTGGGCTGGAGCTTGGGGTACTGATGGGGGCTAGTAGGAGAGTTGGCTGGGATGGGGGCAGCAGCCTAGGGACCCTAGGGACCTTCAGCTGACTAATCTTCTGCTGGACACTGGAGCTGGATGGTGGTTGGGGCATGGAGACTTGACATGTGCCAAAGCGAGCCCTGGGACCTGAGCTCCACTGCAGAAGTGCTGTCAGCAGCAGACAGCTGTTCTGGGCTCATCGTGGGCTGTGAGGGCTGGTGTGCTTCCATGTCCAGTCTTGAGTGTGGCAGCAGAGCTATTTCCATACTAATGACTTCTCTTACACGTTCCAGGGTGACCCCGGTGAAGACGGGAAACCAGTAAGTTTGATTTTCTCTGTGCCAGTCACTGTACAGTGTTTGCATAGGCCCCTTAGGCCATTTGCACCCAACACAGGTAGAAGGTTCACAGTGAGGCCACTGCAAAAAGGCAGCTTCACTCGTGTTGAACTTCACGGCCAGCTACAGGTGGGCAAAGGTAGTTAGACCTGTGCATTGCAGTGCTCCTGGTGATTACTGGGAAACAAGGAGAGGTATCATTTCTGGATCCTCAGAGGGAAAAGAGCACAGCAAGACCTGGGAGATCAGAGTGCAGGGGAGGACTACAGAGCCCGGGGAACAGGGTACTTCGTGCTGACAGAACAGGGGGCTCTTTGCACCTGTCAAGACTCAGACAACCACTGAGCTCAGTCATGCTGGAAGATTCTTTGAGCGTACCGTGTTCACCAAATGTGCACATCTACAGACATATCCATGTAATGCATCTAGCAACCACTCTGGCAGGGATGTCCATGGTTCCCAGAGTTGGCATCTCTGGAGAGGTTCCATGCCGTCTCCCAGGCTCACGGTTCTCCGAGCCAGCGGTGTCACTCTTGAGTCTTGGCCTTTGCTCTGGGGTCCTTTTTGTGGTATGGTCCCTCCAGACTTCTTGGGCCTTCATGAACCCCTTAAGGGCTTGGCTCACATCACTACCCCCAACTCCGGGAGGAGGAACATTTGTGGCCAAGCTTCGTAGTGTAAAGGGAGAGAGAGGCTTCTCCCTGCCTAGCTCCTACCCTTGTCTTTCAGGGTGACACTGGACCTCAGGGCTTTCCAGGGACCCCAGGAGACATAGGCCCTAAGGGTGAGAAGGTGAGTGTGCACAGACCAGGGTATGGCTCCTTTTCTGTATTAGTTCCTGACCCGAAGTGGCCTCAGTATGACAGGTTTGTCTTGTGTCCCAGGGAGATCCTGGTGTTGGGCCAAGAGGACCTCCAGGACCCCAAGGACCTCCGGGGCCACCGGGTCCCTCCTTTAGACAGGACAAACTAGTAAGTTCCACCCTTGGCCTCTCAGGGCCTTGGTGCTCAACCCTGGCGATTGGTTCCTGATGGTTGTTGGCCCAAGAGGATGGGCTCCTGCCTCGGGCTGAAGCTAGTAGCCAGGCTGTGGGGTGAACATGGTGGCCCCTGATTCTACCTCAGGCATCTAGGGTGTTTAGGGGACAGCTGGGTGGTACTGCCTAATGCTCAAGAGGGCTGGTTTGCATTCTGTGATGGCCTCTCATCCTTCCCTCAGACTTTCATTGACATGGAGGGATCTGGCTTCAGCGGAGACCTGGAGAGCCTTAGGGTGAGTGACACATACAGGCCATGACCTCTGAGACTTCAGTGTGAACCTGTGGGGGTGGGACAAATCATTAGGGATAGGATTATTACCCAGCCGAACCATGCATTCTATAGTGGACTGTATCGCTTATGTCTAGGGCCCTCGAGGTTTCCCTGGCCCCCCAGGACCTCCTGGAGTCCCAGGACTTCCCGGTGAGCCAGGACGTTTTGGAGTCAACAGTTCCCATGCTCCAGGACCTGCAGGCCTTCCTGGTGTGCCTGGGCGGGATGGGCCTCCTGGCTTTCCAGGACCCCCGGTAAGTCCTGCTGCTCTCATGGGCTGGGAATGGGGGAAGCACCATGTGGGGCCTCCTACCAGAGCCACCTCAGATCTCCAAGGCTATACATCACATATCTCTTTCTCAAGGTAGAGGTGGCTCCCATTTGGGGGCCACCCTCAGGGATGGGGGGGTAGTCTGGGTAGGCCACTCTATGGTTCTAGGGGTGTTGACCCACTAGCTGACCATGAGCTACACATTTAACCTCTGGGTTGAATGGGTACATAGCCTCCTACTTTTGGTTCTCCAAAATGATTGGCAGCTCAGAAAAAGATAAAAGACCCGCCCCCCCCAAAAAACCCCACAGTGGTCTCCATACAGTGGCAGTGCCTTCCAGACTATGTATGTGCCCTGTGTTGGGGATAGTCTATATCCTGACTTCTCAGGAAGTCTTTAGTGCCATGTCTCACTTCGGCCTTCTGTCCCCAGGGTCCCCCAGGTCCTCCAGGAAAAGAGGGTCCACCAGGAGTGGCAGGCCAGAAAGGCAGCCTTGTAAGTCAATTCCTATGGGTCAGGGTAGATGTGACCCAGCACACACCTGTGGCCACAGGGTGGTGGATATTACATGCTTGGGGCCTGTGGAGGGCACATGTTGCTAGATTGGGCCATGGGCACAGGCTGGAACTCAAACCTGTGAAGATTCTTAGGACAGTGGCCAGTGGGGCTTAGGTTAAAGCCTTATATATGTTTCTTACCACTGTGGCTAAACCAGCCACTTTTTAGGATCCAACACTTCCTTTCATTTAAAAGTGTTATTTCAAGTTTAGTTGCATTGAGAGAAGAGGTCTTCAGGGGCAGGCCAATCTCTGCTGACATGATCTGTCATGGTCTCATGCCACAGACAGAGGGAGGCTAGCTGGGAGGGAAGCTGTCTGGAGAGCTGCTTCCAATATTTTCTGGGAATGGGATTAGAAGCCCCACTAGTGGGGCTGAACAGCAGAAGGTTCTTTTACATGAACTCTGCCCAGAACTGGGCTCAGTTCTCAGTTGAGCCTAATGGGCTCTCTCTCCTGTTGGGAGATATTCTGGGAGGCATTCATAGGGGAGATGGGGACAACATGACACAGAGTCAGGCTGAGACACTCTGGTCTATGGCTCTTCTGACTCCCCTCTCTGCTCCCCAGGGGCTCCATCCCCACCAGTCGGGATAAGGAAGGGCAGGAGCAAGTCTAGAAACAACTAGATTAGCATGCAGCAGACAGTGCTGTTGTGGGGTGGGCAGAGTTGCACTTGGGGTCGTTGACTTGCTCTTTTCCACTCACTGTGGCAGTGTTTGAATTTATTGTAATCCTACTCTTTTCCTCACAGGGTGATGTGGGCACCCCAGGACCCAAGGTACAAGTCAATACCCATTCTGGCGGAGCTGGGGCCACCTGCTTCCTAGAAGGGTCCCAACAAGGTTCAGGGGGCACCATGATCAGCGAGCATATACTCCTTGGTGCTGACGGTGACCCAGCAATAGCTGTCCTGCTGGAATCCCCAGACAAGGCCACAGTGGTGTTTGTCCTGTGTGTGTGTCCACTCGGTTCTGGTATGCTGATGCAGCAGGACCAGCTGTCAGGTTTGGAGATGAACTTCAAGTCCACAGGAGCAAGGGGAAGGCTCCCTGGTAGCTCCTGAAGGAAGTCGGATACTCCAGGGTTAGAAATGCCCAGCCCAGCATCCTTACCCTCAGCTGCTCAGGGAGGGCCACCCTGGCCCACCTGTGTTCTGATGGGTATCCTGGTTGGCACTCAGAGGGAAAGCGGAGGGACCCCAGCTCTTGGCTGGGGCTGATGAGGAAAACTCAGCGGGGAGAGCAGAGCAGGGCGGTATGGGCATCAGAGAATAGATGAGGATGTCAGAAGGAAATGAAGGCCTGATGGGTTGACACGGGTCATGCATGTAAACAGGCACACACTTACTTCTCTGCACCTCATACTTGTATCTGCACAGACACTGGTTTTTACACTTACACACTTGTCCCTCTGCATGTACACTTACTGGTATCTGCATATGTATACTTGTATGTGTACATACACACCACACACACACACACACACACACACACACACACACACACGCATGCGCGCGTCCCCCCCTAGGGTCTTCAAGGATAAATAAGTGCGGTTTCAGATGAAGGTCAGAGTTGACAGCTGAGCCAGGTTACGTACATGAAATCGAGTAGCTACATTTACAGTTGGAGATCCAGCACCTGCTGAGATCCCTACATCCTCATTAGACACAAAGGAGTTGTTTTGTTTTTTGAGACAGAATTTCATATAGCCAAAGCTGCTTTGAGTTTACTATGTAGCTCAGCCTGGTCTTAAACCCAGTTAAAAACTAGAAACCTTAAGATCAGGAATTAGGTGAGATTTTTAAGCACCATAAAAAGGTGCCTGGCACCTGGACAGATTAACCCAGAGAGTGAGGATTGTAGTAGAACCAGCCCTAAGGTGCAGCTGATGGCACAGCACATTTCCTGGTTTAGACCACTGGTGTCGACACGAGGAGTCCAGGAACAGGTCTCTGAAATACTTCGGAGACCAGGCGGAGGGCCCCACCATAGCAGGCGGGAACCAGGATGAGCAGGCACCTGTGTCAGGCTGGGCTCAGAACATTTCTCATACTGTCACATGCCTCCACAGCCCAGGAGAGAGTGGTGGTTGGTCTCGGTTTTCACTTCAAGGTGAACTGGCTACTAGCAGAATCCCTGGGGCGTCTCCACAGTCAGGTTCTTTCTTAGGGCTGACCTGCGTGGAGCTAAACCCTCTGAACCAGGACCTCTCTGTCTGAGCCCCAAGTCCCTACCCCACTCTGTTTCCGCTGTCTGGACCCTCACCAGGCCTCTGGGTCCCTCGGGCTCTTAGACAAGTCCCAGCACACATATTCATGGCTCCTGCCCCCTCAGGACACAGTGATACCTGTTTCCCCAGTCACTGCCACTGGCTCCTACGCAAAGCCACCCAGAGCCCCTCTCTCCCTGTACCTTCCAGTGGCCTGTCCTTCCTCCTAACCTACTCTACATGCTCCTCACTGTCCTTGTCCCCCACCATCAGGGAACCTGGTCCTGAGGTAACAGGCCACCATGTCAGTTTGTGTGCCTGTGACTTTCACTTGGCCTTGTTGTTTAACGACATGAAATTGTCTCATAAAACCAGAGGGGTATGCTCTCTTTTGTAGAATGTGATTTATCGCTCAGATTTTTAAAAAGTATCATAAGGAAACACCAGGGACACCTGAGGCTTCTGAAACCAAAGGGTGATGACCTTGTCTCTCTACCATGCAGGGAAGCAAGGGAGACCCTGGCCTTGTTGGCCCACCTGGAAAGAATGGTTTGGTGGGACCTCCTGGGCCCGCCGGACCTCAAGGACCCCCGGGACCTCCCGGGCCACCAGGACCAGGATATGCTGCTGGATTCGTGAGTCTGGGCTCTCAGAAAACCTGGACTACACTCCACAGCTGTTTCCCTTCCAGACAGTTCACGGGCTGAGCAGCACTCCTTGGGCAGAGGCCCAGCTCTAGCTGCCATGGGTTTTCCCCTCTCTGTCTTCGCATCCCCACTTCTGAGCACTGAGTTGCCCAGTGTTGGCTTGGCTTTAGTGTACTCAAAGCACAAATGTTTATGCCCAGCTATCCCAATGTCTATGGCTGCTGTCTCCAGCCCCTTTATACCTTGACTGCTGAATACTTGCTTGTATACCCAGGCACACACTTGTCTTACACACACTCAGATCAGAGCCCTAAGACTGAGCAGGGCGCCTACTCACCAGGGTCCCGGCTCCACACACAAAACCTCATCTACTTCACTTTCCCCATCTTCACTTTCCAGACCTAAGGGAGGGCCCCTTCTTATAAGGAATGGAGACTAAGTGTCTGTCATATGTCCCCTTCAGGACGACATGGAAGGCTCTGGAGCACCCTTCTGGTCAACTGCCCGAGGTTCTGATGGGCTCCAGGTACTGCCTGGGAACTGAGTGGGAGAGTCCTAGGTCAGAGGTGTCTTTGGACAGTCCCACAAGGGGCAGAGAGCCCCCTGCAGAGCCTATGGAGATAATAAGTCATAGCACCCCTCCCCCCCAGAAATTCTGAGCTGGAAAGACCTGGGTGCAGATTGTTCCCAGGAGGGAGAGAGGTGGTGATAGGCAGATTAGTTTTAAAAGATACTGATTCCTTCTGTGGCTGCAGTTTGGGAAGTGACAGTGTTTGGCCTGAGTAGATTGGAGTTAATGGAGCATTTGGAGGAGGACCCCCCCACATACACCCACTTTTCTCTGTTGACCTGTGCATAGTTGGGATTATGGTCAGCAAGGAGAAGCTGAAGTCCCAAATGACAGGTGCATCCAGGCACATGTATGTGTGCACATACTCTGCGGCCCTGCCCGAGACACTTTCTCTCCTTGAGGCCGCCGCTCTCCCCTGAGGAGGCGTAGCAGGGTGCTCCAGCTTTGGCCTTCAGGACACCAGGCAGACCCCCAATCCCTGGGTCAGCCACAGGCAGATGTTAATTGACAGTTGTTAAAGTACACTGCTTATTTTTATCTTTTAGGTAAAATACAGGCTTGCTTTGACTATAGTCAGGCAGAGCTGGCTTCCAGGGTAGTTTTTGCACAAAGAGCTCCCAAGTGTCTTTCATTCATTCATTCATATACTTTCTTCAGTTGCCCCGTGATGCCCATTATAACTGAAGGCTCTGCCCTGGGGTCCTGGGCCATGGCATGTTCATGTCCTAGGTTTTTCTGTTTTCAGTTAGAGCCATGACACTTGGAAAGGGCTAATTAATGGGATAAAGCATCTCTTTATCCCACTAGTGCAGGATGGATGCACTAATGCCTGTCTCCTCTACTCTGACAGGGACCTCCAGGCCTGCCAGGACTCAAGGTAAGTGAAGTCTTTCATGGAGAGCTGCCTAGGCTGCCCACTCTCTGGAGAGTTAATGCTTTGTGAGTTCAGCAGGGAAGTTTGCAAAATATAGCAGAAGGCCTCATGGGAAAATAGTCACATACCCCTTCCCAGACACTGATGGGGTTGTATAGCCCACCTTGCTGAAGCCCTATAATGTGAGATTCTTGGCTTCACACATTTGAAGCATGATAGAACTCGGAAGGAGCTCAGAGCTTCCCACACCCCCATTCTCAGGGACGGTAGAGCAGGATGCCCTGGAGGAACCCAGAGCTTTATTCTCATCTTTGGGGACACAGCTTACAAGATTGGCCCCACAGTCCCCGCCTTCCTTCGGGCCTGAGTTGGGCTCTCCAGGGCAGGAGCAAGGGTAGAGGACACCACAGCAGTTCCCACTAGGGTTCCCACTTTCTAACCAGCCTTTATTGTCACCCTGCTCCCTCTAGAGTGTTTTACTGTGACTTGCAAAACACAGGACTTTTCAAGGGCTGGATCTTCCGATGGGCCTATGCTGAGCTTTTTAAATGTTAAGAGGGAAGTTACTTCAGAGACCTGCTTCTTATAGTGGAGATGATGGGACCTGCCACCAGCTTCTAGAACATCCAAACCCTGTGCTAGCTGCTAGGATGTGTCCTGGACCCTCTATGTGGGCCTCTGGGTCCCTGCTTATTCACCTAGGGTCCTAGATGGGGGGCAGGGGGCATCCTGCATGATGAACACCCCCGACCCCTGAGAGAAGAAAGCAGCTTGACTTGGGGATGGGCTGGCACATACTTATGGAGCCCTTTGTCTGCTCAGGGGGATCCTGGAGTGACGGGACTACCTGGAATCAAGGTAGGTACCTTGCCTGGGATAAGGAAGTTGAACCTAGTGGGGATAGAGAGGGGTCTGGTGGAAACCAAAAAGTACGCCCCCTCATGTCTCAGTAGAGGAGGGTATCAGGCACTGTCAGAGACAGCCAGGCCTGAATTTAGAAGTCACAGAATGAGACCTCTGGCCCCCTAGCCTCAGCCTCTCCCATCTGCCCTCATTCTTCCTCCTACCTTTGTTTCTTTATAATTTAATGACTGATTCAGGGAAAACCATGTAGGCCAAACCCCTGCCTCAGGGCACCCCCAGGCTCCCCTGTACCAAACATGTGGGGGGCAGGCTTCCTCTTAGACAAATGGGAGCCTTGTGGGCTGTCTGGAAGCCCACCTCTGCCCTACTACCAGCCCCACTTTCTTTATCTTCCTCATACACACCCCTAGGGGGAGGTTGCTATAGCCCCCAGGGCTTAAACCAACAGCCAGGAGAAACCCAGGTTATAGTCACGCCCACAGGTCCTGTGGCCTCCTCTCAGGGTGCCTGTGTCCCAGATGTAAGGCTGACTCTGGACTTTCCATTTATCTGTTCCAGGGAGAAACTGGAGCAGATGGAGCCCGAGGCTTTCCCGGCCTGCCTGGCAGAGAGGGTGCAGCTGGGCCCCCAGTGAGTGAGGGGAAGGATACATGAAAGAACTCCCCAGGAGAGCTGGTATCCAAGGTGGCTCTGGGGTACCTGGACACCCACGTCTCCCACCTACTACACTGTGCCCCATGGAACCAAACACAAGTCTTGCCAGGGTTTGGGTACCCTGTATCCTCTAAGACCCTGTTTGCACAGGAAACATAGACCCCCATCAGTTGGAAGCCAGGCTCAGACAGGCTGGTCTCTGAATGGGCTCTGGTTCTGCTTACAATGATCCATCTCCTCTGTCTCTGCAGGGGCCAAAAGGAGAGAAAGGGAGCCAGGGAGAAAAGGTGAGTGTCCTCAAGAGGCGGGGTGGCTCAGTGGGCAAGAATGGAACTGGAGCTCCACTGTGCCCAGGCCCTGGGGTGTAGCCCCATACCACCTGGCTACCCATGTGGCTTCACAGAGTTAGGCAGAAACCCTCAAGTCAGCAGGGGCAGCTCTCAGCCTCTGTCCACAGGCCCCAGTGTCTGGGCTGTGGGTAGACTCTGATCCTGGCCAGAACAGCCAGAATGAAGAGCTCTGTGCCATTCTCTTCCAGGGAAACCCAGGGAAGGATGGCGTGGGGCATCCAGGCCTCCCTGGCCCTCCAGGACCTCCAGGACCTGTGAGCTACGTGTCAGCTGAGGATGTAAGGACATGGATGGGCACTGCTGGGCTAGTCCTTCAGTCTAGATGCTACACATATCAGAAGAAGGCGAGGAGTTCTCGCTTCTTGAGCGAAGGCTGTGCTAGCTGGAAGCTCCCTCCCACCAAGGCTTCTCGGCCTTCTTGGCTGCCAAGGCTACGGTTGCCTTTTCACAGTGTCTGCAGCAACATATCCCCTACTTCCAAGCGTCCTAGCTCCAGAATAAACACGTCCCTCACAGCACCCCCCAAAAAGCCTCAGGGTCCACGTTGCTGCCTGAGCTCACTTTGCTGCAGCGGGAAGCCTAAATCTCTGGAGGGCTCAGATGCAGGTGAGGGGCTCCCTGGACAGAGCTAGAGTGGGGCTAGAGTGAGCCATCTGGGCTCAGATTCCAACTACAGTTGTGAGCTGTGACTCTGGCTGGTCACTTCACCCTTCAGGGGTTCAGCAGCCTCATTTCTGAGACGGGGACAGTATAATCCTGGGAGCAAGGGTTCAGACGGTCACGGCTGCCTGGCTCAGGCCTCATACTTCAGGCATGGACAGACACCAAGGAGCAGATATAGATAACATCACAGTGAAGCCCAGAGGACTGGAGCTCCTGGCCCTAGGCAGACCCAAAGGCCATGGCCGTCACCTCCAGCCAGGGGACAGTGGCATAACCATGAGATGTAAGCCGAGCTGCCTCCTCCACATGGCAAGCCAGAGGACATCCAGAAGGTTGAGTTATAGGACTATGGAGTGATACCAGCCTTGTGTCCCAGGAACAGGGATGCTCCAATCTGGGGGCATCTTCTGTGGGAAAGATCTCCCCAGGAAGTGGCTCAGTTGTCACCTGGGCACCTGCAGTCAGAACTCAGTCAGAAAATGCAGTGTTCTTCCACTTCCCCTGTGGGGTTGCTTTGCTGACTAATATGCCAGGTGAATTTCATCGCAAAAGCAACTTTTCTTTTTCTCCAATTTTATTTTCTGCTCACCTGGAAACAGAGAACAGTAGCAAGTGTGCCAGGACCCGAGGTATGTGCCATTTTGCTTCTAAGAAATTCTGCTGTGGGTCAGGCATGGTGGCACACGCCTTTAATTCCAGCACTTGGGAGGCAGAGGTAGATGAATCTCTGTGAGTTAGAGGCCAGCCTGGTCTATGTAGTGAGTTCCAAGCCAGCTGGGGCTACAGGAAGACCCTGTCTCAAAGAGACAAAAAAAAAGGTCTGCTGTGGGCCAGGGAAGCTGGGACAGAATGTCAGGGGCTTCCTATGAGCAGTGTATCCCCAAAACTCATGCTGCCCCTCTTTCTGCAGGGCAGGCCGGGGTACGCAGGCTTTCCCGTAAGTAGCTTCACTCCAGAGCTGCATCTCTGCCCATTGGTGCCCTGGCACTGGGGGTTGGGGTGGGATCTGCTCTTAGTACACTCAGGACAGCCATGTGAGCTGGAGTGGGAATAGTCACTGTCCTTGAGGTCACTGACATCAGCAAGATAATGGGGACTGGAGAGGCATTGGGCCCTTGCCACCTATAATGGGCAGGACCCTAAAGGGGCAGGCAGTACATGACCAGGAAGCAACCATAGGACACAAAGATACAGAGACTAGTGAGGACTGGGGGGCTGGATTAGAGGCCCTCATTCCTGTCTGTTCTCCACTCTAGGGACCCGCTGGGCCGAAGGGTGACCTGGGTTCCAAAGGCGAGCAGGGCTTTCCAGGACCCAAGGTAAGGGACTGGAGCTTGGCCTGCTTCTTTCCCAGGATCCAGAACACAACTTCACTGCTGCCCAGACTAGCAAGAGCTGACAAACTATCAGCAGACAGCCTTCCATTGTGATCCAAGAGGCTGTCCCTGTCTCTGCCCAGGTTACAGTTTGGGGGACAGGCCAGAGGGCATTAGGGCATGCTATCTGTGTTAGACCGACTCAGAGGGCCCAGGTCACACCTCCCTCTATCAGGCTGAGACTCCCTTGCTTTGGGTTGTTCGAGGCCTTGTGGCCACTGCCATCATCAAGCTCTGACCTGTCCTGCCTACCCTGCCATTCCAGGGCGAGAAGGGAGAGCCAGGTGCTATCTTTGGCCCTGATGGCAGAGCCCTGGACCCCACCCAGAAAGGAGCCAAGGTGAGAATGGGGTTTGTACACTTCGAGAACACCACACAGGTAGGGGGTGTTCCTGAGAAAGAGGCAGGCTCATGATACACTCAAGCCTATCCTTAACGGGGTTCCTGAACCTTGCGTAGCCCACACGTGGTGCCCTTGCTTTGCCTCTTGCAACCATGCTCACATGGGTGTGTTCTCACAGTGCCGACACCTTCCAGGGGCCTGAATTATCCCCCTTGTTACTCTTACTTGCAGGGAGGTTAGGGACACGTTTCCCAGCCCAGCAGCTCATTCCTCTGTCCCGCCTTGCCTGTGGGAGTTGAAGGGGCCCAGGGCCTGGTGGGGCTATCCCGCTTCCTGCTGCCCCTGTGCAACTGAGGTGTCTGGTCCTCCAACCTCCTGTGGCCCTGAGCCTGCCGGAACCTGACCACAAGCCTGAGCATAGCTAGCTAGTACTCACTCCCACCCCATCAGGCCTTGGAAGGTGCTGGAATGAGCCTGGTAGCTATAGGGAGTGGTCTGTAGTTTTGTTAGGTCGTGGGCTGAGGACTCCAGGCCCAGAGAACTACTCCGCCACCAGCAGCTCTGTAACTGAGTAGGACCTGGATAACTCCAGCTGTGTGCAACATGGGCAGGGCCCCAGCCTCCAGAACCCAGGGCACACTCATCTATGCCTCAGCCCAAACCCCAGTGCATGTGTATTGTGCTAGTGTCCTCCTGGCATGGTCAACAGCCTTTGCTGCCAACCCAGTGCATCCACAGGGACCCAAGAAGGCAAGCCATACTACCTAACATAATTCTGGTTTTCTGTTCAGGGAGAACCAGGCTTTCGAGGACCCCCGGTGAGTAGTGCCCTTCTTTGGACTAAGTACATGGTCCAGGGTATATACACCAACTGCAACTTTGAAACCATGGGGTCGGGTAGCAGTGGGACGCTCCTCAAAGGTGATGGCTCTGACCCTATCCCTGGTGGTCCCGCCCTCCTCACAGGGAGGCTCTGCTTACCCTTCAGCTCATCTTTCTCTCTGCAGGGTCCTTATGGGCGGCCTGGACACAAGGGTGAGATCGGCTTCCCTGGACGGCCGGTGAGAACCTTGTGGGCTGCAAATTGGGCCTGGTGGGTAGGGTAGAGAGAGCTGGGCCCACAGGGGGCTGGGCCTTGGGGGAAGTGGACAGTGCCCCCCCATACTGTCATTGAGTACAGCTGTTACTCCTCTGTGACCAACGTCCTAGTACTTATCTGAGGGGTACTTTGCCAAGAGGATCAGACAACCCCTAGGAGGCCCTGGGCAGAGAGGGGCTCTGCTTGGTTCCTTCTAGTCAGTTTCCTGCCTCCCCCAGCTGCTGGGTAGGAGCTGTCAGGAGCTGGGTGTGGAGGCTTCGTACAGGAAGGAGGGCAGCTGTGCATAGGCTGGCCAGTGCCTAACAGGCCCTTCCATTCTGTTCTTCCCAGGGTCGCCCCGGTATAAACGGATTGAAGGGAGAGAAAGGGGAGCCTGGAGATGCCAGCCTCGGGTTCAGCATGAGGGTGAGTGTCCTGTAAGGGTGAAGAGGTGGCTGGGACATCAGGGAGTGGGAATGGCTGGGGTGGGGACATCAGCTCATCTGTCAATGGCTCATCAGCTCATCTGTTTCAAATGGCTGGTGATATGACTAGGTATGCTGGTCCTGACAGGCACACTTACGTGCATACTCATACATACGCATATATGTGTTGGTACACTTAGACACCTATACATACACATACGTGCATGCTCTTATTCCTGGAGGATAACACCTCAGGGCTTCAGGGAATGTCTTTGCCATGTCCACCCAACATAACTTTATAACTTTTAGAACCTCTGCTTGTTTGGGGGGCTTGCCTTGTTCCACCTGTGGCAGAGACTTAAGAGGCTCCCCAGGCTGCCCCGCCCAGCCCAGCTCCCTCCCATTCATACAGTCAACCTCTCTCCTGAAGCAAAGCAGGTACTCTTCCAGGCTGATTGTGTGCATCCGCTTTGCCCAGAGCAGAGGTGGGCTCAGAGGTCTGGATATAAGCACTTGAGGGAGTTCAGACTTTGGATTGCTGCTATTGGTTCTTCGTCGGCTGTTTCTTCTGAGGACCAGAACGTAGTAACAGTTTGCAAAATCAAGAACAAACTGCAGCATTTGCCGAGCTAAAGGACTGGCACAGGCCATGCTAGGTGCCCTGGCCATGCCTGTCCCTTACCTGGGTCCTCAGAACTCTGCATAGAAACCCTTCACAGGGGTAGTATGTGACTCAGAGCTTACTCTTCCAGTGCCTGGGCCAGGCTGTGCCCTTTCCTTGAAAAATTGAAATTTTATTCACAAAAGTCAAAGCCTCCTTGAGTGACCTAGCCCCAAGTTTACAGCTAGTAATCCCTGGAGGCACATCCTCTTGTACCATAGTTGTTCACTGCCCATGTGGCCTCATTTCCCTGAAAACCACCTGATCGAGAAATAGGAAGACCAATAGGAAGACCAGACCCATCAGCGGGACCACAGACAAGAGTTAGGAATGAATTCTTTGTTTATATTGTCAAATGCATTCACTGTTCTGATTCCACTGATTTTCAGAAATGTGTCTGCCCCCATCTGCCACCCTACTTTGTGCTGATGGCTTGATGGTGGCTCTGACTGACCAGAGCTTTCTGTCTTCCCACAGGGAATGCCTGGCCCCCCAGGCCCTCCAGGCCCCCCAGGCCCTCCAGGAATGCCCATCTATGACAGCAATGTAAGTGACTAGGGCTGTACTCTGCAGAGACCTCCCTTTCCATTGCCAGCCCCTGCATCCTCTGGGTATCTCTGGGATGGGCCCTATCTGATATGCTGCACCTGGGGGCAGTGAATGAGCTATGAGTCCCCAGGGGACACAAGGCCAAGGAAGAGGCTCTAGGGCCAGGAGGCAGCCTCAAGCTGGAATGGCTTGGGTCCCTGACTCAGTTACTGAGGGGCACCCCTGTTTTACCAGACTCAGCAAGGTAAGGCAACTAATAAGAGCAGGTGCATCCATGACCAGGACTCCTGATCCCAGACCCTGCTTGCCTTCCAGAGCCCCTAAGGGAAGGAGTACTGGTTTAGCCTCTGGGAGGGGACCTGGGGCTTCTGGCTTTGGGGACCCTGGTGGCCTTGCTTTCTAAAGCACTGTCTCTCAGCGGCCCTTCTGGCCTGTTCTTTGTAGGCATTTGTGGAGTCTGGCCGACCTGGGCCTCCAGGACAGCAAGGTAAGAGCACCAGGGCTCACAGAGTACATGGAGATGGTAGGATAGCAGCTGAGCTAGTGGTCTCACACAGTGATTTAGAGAAATGGAGTTGCAGGACTCCTCTCTGCTAACCCTGAGTGCCCTGTTCCTGAGCTAGACATGTTCACAGTCCCACCCCACTAAGCTCTGGCCTAACCAGGGTCAGTGGCCCCAGGGTGACCACCCAGGTTTGCTCAGAGCAAAGGCAGAAAGAGCCTAACCCATTTGTCAGCAGGGGCAGAGGGTGGTAGCATTCTCCCATTCTCCTGACTCCCACAGCCTTCTGGGAGTACACCCTCAGCTCCTCACAAGCTCAGATTCTGACTGCCCACCTTGTTCCTTCACAGCCTTCCTGGTCTAGGCCCACCCTATGCACACAGCAGACAAGGTTGGAGACATGGGTGGGAGGGGCTCTGACTTTCTTTCCGTGACAGTTCTGGGGTCTCTTCCTCCAGGTGTGCAGGGACCTTCAGGACCAAAGGGTGACAAAGGAGAGGTGGGCCCACCTGGGCCACCAGGTAAGCATGCTTTGCAGCTCCCAGGCTGAGGGGCCATTTGGCATAGCCAGCTCCAGCAATGGACACCAGAGCCCTAAGGGTGCCAGACACTTAGTGATTGCTGCTCTGCATGCTGAAGGGACAAAGTGCTTTCTCAGCTCACCAAGTCCTGATAAGACCTGGACCTAGGGACACTAGTTAGCCTCCCAGTTTGGGGATAAGAGCTTGGGAGGGCTGCAGGGACTGGCAGCTCAGTGTTCTGTCCCCATAACCCCATTTACTGAGGAGCTGAGCAGGGGTTCGTCTGTGGCACAAGGCTGGACACCAGCAACAACTCACAGAGAGACACAGAGCCCCAGCAGTCAGGGTCCTGAGGTGTACCACCATGGGCTAATCCTGAAGAACATGAGTAGCCAAGGGCCAGCAGAGACCCCTGTGTCCATTGGGCAGGGGGCATTATCTCTTACTGGGATAACTGTGGACAAGTGCCCTTCCCAGGGGGCACCTGTGCTGTTCTGAACAGTTAGAAAAGCTGAGCAAAAGGTGAGAAACCTTCCATGACACAGTGGAAAAACTAGCAGGGCAGAGAGCTGAGGCCACTCTCCTAGTCAGTGAAAGCATCAGCGTATCAGTAGGCTGTGTCCTAGCTGAGCAACAGACCTGCAGATAGAGACTCAAATTCAGGTACGTTGTTCCCCGGGACTGCCAGAGCAAAGGCAAACTCCACCCTCAGGTTCTGCCTACCAGCAGCACTCAAAGCTTGGTACCCGATAAGGAAGGAACAGGTCCGTGGATGCAGAACCAGCCAGAGATGGGGAGGGACAGTCAGGTACCCAGGTCTCCTGAGAAGCGGTTGCCAGGTTGGACCCAGGACTTTGAGCACTCTGTCCCAAAGTTAAAAGGAAACTTCCGAAAGCAGAGGTATGTCTGGGTAAACCCCAAGACTGAAAGCAACAGCTGGAAATGAGAGTTCTGTGTGCTGGGGGCATGAACCCCCAGGACCGTGAGGTGTGCAGGAAGAGGCCAGTGCAGCATCTGTTCAGCAGAAGCATGAAAAGGACAGAAGGTCCACAGAGGGGGGACGCAGTGACGTCCAGCGTGCTTGTCACTAGAGAAGTAGCAGTTGAGGGGAAGATGGCCTAGAGTTTCCAAAGCCAAAAAAAGATTTGGAGTACTCCCCACAGTCAAAAGAGGACTGACTGATGTGGGTGAAGCCAGAAGACCATGCATGTTTCCAAACTTCAGAGGGAGACGTGTGCTGTGGAATTCCACAGCCAGGAAAAAGGCCCTGCTGAAAAAGGGCGGCCTAAGCAGCGAGCCAGCCCTGACCTGCTGTGCCGTGCAAGACTCCTGGGTGCGATGGAAATGGTGCCCAGCGAGGATGGGAAGGCAGGGAGAGGCTGAACAAGACGACAGGAAAAGTACAGGCTGCCTGGGATGGGATGGGCACAGTCAAGACCTGTGGGCCCAGCCTCGGCGCATGGTCCTCTGGTGTTTGACTGAGGTCCTGAAGGAAAGCTGGATGTGGAAATGTGCAGCTGGATGCTTGATGGACAGGCGAATGGCACACAGAAATACAGAGGAAAGCTTGATGCAAATGAAGGCAGAGAGGGAGAAGAAACCAGGTCTAAGGAAGTAGGGGACAAAGTAGGTCTCACCCAGCAGGCTTACGTCCATCAGCAGCTGAGCAAGCTGGTGCTTCTGTTGGCAGTCTGGGAAATGGGAATGGATTGGCCGCCCAGAGAGACCCCTCCCTAAGGATGAAGACAGGCCAGGGGAACAGAGGTGGAGAGTTGTCCAGCGAGAGGGAGTTGGCCATGGCCAGCAAGGTGTGTGTGTGTGTGTGTGTGTGTGTGTGTGTGTGTGTGCGCGCGCGCCCAAGTGGCCATGTCACATTGTGTTCAGACCAAGTGCAACTTAGGAAACATGACTGAGAATGAAAAAGAAGCACTGGTCTTGATCAAAGTCGATCTGCCAAGAAAATCCAGCAACTGTCCAGGCAGTGACTGAACCTCAGGGCATAAAAGAAAACTGACGACTTAAAAGAAAAACAAGTCAGTCATCAGAGACATTTACCTGGAGACAGAAGTGCTCGGCAGCCACCAACAGCTTGTCTGTGACATCTCTGGCCACATGCCTGCCACGGGGATGTGTCCCTATAGTCAGAAGCAGGTCTGCAGGCTTTGGAGATGATGCAGCCGAAGCCTGTGGTGAGTGAATGCCTGCTGAGCCACCTAAGCCAAGTACCAAAGGAGGAGCAATAGACCTTGGGGCAGTCTGAGAAGCTGATGTCCACACAGCACCTCCTGCACAAGCCTGATTAGCTGAGCCCTCTCAGCACCAGCTGGGCTGGGGCAGTGGGACCCCTTACTTACAGGCCATGGGGTCCTACAGATAGTGTCCCAGCTCTCCTGAGGTCCTTGGACAGGGCCAGAGCTGAATCCTGCTAGTGACCACTATCACTTCCAGTCACATACCTATAAAATGGCTGGGCTTGGCAGGCATGGAGCCACTGCTTGGGCCACCTCCGGTATCAGCTATGGCCTCCGAGGCAGTATGACCCCACAAGGCAGGGACTTCCAGGGGGATAACCACAGGAGGTGACGAGATTGGCTATCCTTGGAAGGTGAATGAGGTAACTCTTGGTTCACAAAATTACAACCTTAAATGGTATCTTTCTAAGCCTTCAGCTCAAGGTGTGAGAAAATGAGCATCACATTTGATGCAGACAGACAGGAAGGAATTCTAAAGATAGAATGAAGGAAGTTATGTTTTATTTGTGTATGAAATCTCAAGGATCAGCAAAGTACAAAGATCAAAAGTTGGTTCTTTGAAGAAGCCAAAACACCCTCTGACAGCGGCAACAGTGAATTGTTCAAAGAGACCCTGCACCCCGTTGTGGCCTTGCAGACCTCCACATGAGCCTCCTCAGCAGGGCTGAGCACCTGAGGGCACAGGGACCCCCTTGAATGGGGGGGAAGGGACTGTACAGTCAAAACTGTCAGCTGCCATCTCAGTGAACCCCAACCTACCTGTCTCCCTCCCACCCTTCAGGGCAATTTCCCTTTGACCTCCTCCGCCTGGGAGCAGAAATGAAGGTGGGTAAGGTTGCTGATCAGGTTGGGGGAGGGTGGGGGTCCCCAGGGGGTGAGGTCCCTGTGTCCCTGGAGATAAGCATCTGATGACATCCAGCCAAGTACCTTTGCTCTGTGGCCCCATGAGGAACACTGGCCCTGGGGTTGTGCCCTTCCCTCTGGACACTCACTGTCTTTGGCCAGTACAGATGGGGCTGATGCAGCAGAAGTTGGGAGCTGAGCCAGGTCTGTAGGGCAAGCACTTGGGGCCAGGGATGTGCCTTGTGACTTATGGGGTTAGTGCCAGCCTGTCTTTCCTCCCTAATCTGATGGTGAGCGTGGGCTGGCCCAGACAAACATTTCCACCTGCAGGGGGACAAAGGAGACCAAGGGGACACCGGACAGAAAGGCGAGAGAGGCGAACCTGGGGCTGGCGGTGGTGGCTTCTTCGGCTCGAGTATACCAGGGCCGCCTGGACCTCCTGGCCCACCTGGCTACCCTGGGATTCCGGTAAGCCTGGGCCCCAGGCCTGCTACAGATGTCCATATAATCTGGGCCTAAGCAGACTTCAAGGGCACATCATGCCTGGCTGGACACTACAAAGGCTGACTGCACCCTGCAAGCTTAGCTGCCCAAGGCCCCACATTTATTTGCTCCTCTGTGGCCATAAGCCAGGTGGATGCATGGACCAGTGTGGTCTCATGCTTATTTGCCCCTCTGTGGGCATGAGGCCAGGTGGGCGTGTGGACTAGAGCAGCCTCATTTGTGCCTTGGGGCTGCTCCTATTCTGGGATCACATCTCTAGCAAAGGGGTCCCTGTGGTGGGCAGGGCCCTGGCCAGGTCTCAGCAGCTGCTTCTACCTCCAGGGCTCTAGGAAGATGTAGCCCCAACCCAGGGCACACAAGGTACGATGGAGTGCCTCCTTGTCCTTCTTAGGGTCAAAAAGGAGAGAGTATCCATGGCCAGCCCGGCCCACCTGGACCTCAGGGACCTCCCGGCATTGGCTATGAGGGGCGCCAGGGCCCCCCAGGACCTCCAGGCCCCCCGGGACCCCCCTCATTCCCTGGCCCTCATAGGCAAAGTAAGTATATGGAGAGCAGGGAGCAGACCTGTGGACAGGAGGCTGCCCACGTGGCCAGGAGTTCCCAGCTTGGTCTCTCTCAATAGCTGTCAGTGTTCCTGGTCCTCCGGGCCCACCAGGCCCCCCAGGTCCCCCTGGAGCCATGGGTGCTTCTGCAGGGGTAAGTTGGCTAGGGTTTGGGGATCTGGGGTAGGGCTGGGGAGGAAGGTGGCATGTCAGGGTGTCCTCACCATCAGTCCACTGGTGGTGGGCAGGGCCCTGGCCAGGGCTCAGTGGCTGCTTCTACCTCCATGCAGAGACCATGGGATCCCCACAGTGCTCACTTCCCCTGTATCCTCCATTTTCCCTTCATGAGGACAGCCTGACAGGGAAGGGTACCCACCCAGGGAATCCTGGGAGCCCTGGGTACTCTGGGCAACACGTCCCACACTGGGCTTGGGTTGGGGTTCCAGCAGGTGAGAATCTGGGCCACATATCAGACCATGCTGGACAAGGTGCGTGAGGTGCCGGAGGGCTGGCTCATCTTTGTGGCTGAGAGGGAAGAGCTCTATGTACGAGTCCGAAATGGCTTCCGAAAAGTACTGGTGAGTTCTCAGGGACCAGCCCTCCAATACCCACAACAAAGATGGAAGCATTTCTTTAAAAAGTAGCAAACTAGGCCAGGCATGGTGGCGCATGCCTTTAATCCCAGCAGTTGGGAGGCAGAGGCTTCTTCAAGAGAAATGCAAGAAATGTTTTGTTAAAAACGTTCCAGGCTAAGCCGGGCATGGTGGCGCATGCCTTTAATCCCAGCAGTTGGGAGGCAGAGGCAGGCGGATGTCTGTGAGTTCAAGGCTGGCCTGGTCTACATAGTGAGTTCTAGGGCAGCTGGGACTACAGGGAGACCCTGTCTCAAAAAGACAAAAATAATAAATAAATAAATAAATAAAACTATTTCTTGCCCACTTTTAGATTTAGCAGTAAATGAATGTGTAACAGTTACTTTTCTTGTTGCTGGGACCAAATACCTGGCAGAAAGCAACTTAAGGGAGGGAAGGTTTTTGTTTTGTTTTTTTTTTTTTTTGGCTCAGTTTGAGGGGATATGTTCATCACTGCGGGGGCATGGTGAGGGTTAGGGTTAGGCATGGTGACTATTTCTTGCCCACTTTTAGATTTAGCAGTAAATGAATGTGTAACAGTTACTTTTCTTGTTGCTGGGACCAAATACCTGGCAGAAAGCAACTTAAGGGAGGGAAGGTTTTTGTTTTGTTTTTTTTTTTTTTTGGCTCAGTTTGAGGGGATATGTTCATCACTGCGGGGGCATGGTGAGGGTTAGGGTTAGGCATGGTGAGGATGTGCAGCAGGAACATGGACAGCCAGTCACAGTATTTCTGCAGTCAGGAAGTAGACAGAAAGTGGGACTGGGCTATAAGGCCTCAAGTCCCACCTACTTCCTCCAGTGAGTCTCCACCTCCTAAAAGTTCTACAACATTCCCAAACAGCACTGCCAGCTAGGGATCAAACACATACCCAAACACATAAACTTAGAGAAAGTTTACATTCCGATCACAGCAGTGTAACGTGAGGCAGGGTCCTAACACCAGGCCCCAGGTGGCTCATGGCAGACATCCATACACCATCCTGTTCGGGCTCATCTTGGTCTCATCATGGGACTGCATGACATGCCACAGGATGTCCCTAGGATAGGTAGAGGCTACGTATGTGTTGTATCCCAATACCCTGTTATAAATACCACTGTGAACCAGCAAGATGGTTTGGTAGATGGAGTGTCTGCCTTCCAAGTCTAGAGACCTGAGTTTACTCTCCAGAACCCACATAAAGGTGGAAGAAAGAGAACTGACTTGACAAAGTCCTTCTCTGACCTTCATTTGTGCACCGTGGCATGTGTACCCACAGTGATAATAATAATTAAATACTATGATGAACATCTTTGGTACCTTTGGAATACCTTAAGATGCATCATGGCTGCTGGGTACCAACTTTGGGGCTCTATACACCTGGGCCAGCCCTCTGTCCTCTGTAGGAACAGGACCAGTGGTCCTGTTCTTATCCAGGCTAGGACACAGCCAAGGCTTCTGGGCCTTTGAGGAGGGTTTTGATTGTAGGCAAATAACCAGTGTCTGCTTCCAAACAGCCTGTTTTTCCTTGGGAGCACATGTCCACACTGAGGAGATAGGGTTGATCTGAACTCCTGAAGTCTCTCTGTTCTCTATCACTAGTCCATAGCTTTTAGGGTCTGCCTCCACAGCACCCTCCTGACCACCAGCCCTTCTACCTGCCAGGAAGAGTCTGTGGTGTCAGCAGTGCCCCTGGTGCCTGTGTATGTGGTACCTAGAAGCATGGTGGAATCACATCCCTTTCAATGGGCCTCTTCCAGAGGGAGGAGCTCTGGGAGGAGGGTAACCGATGAAGTAAACTGGCCTGGAAGCATGTTAGAATAACCCTACTCTTGCCTTCCAGCTGGAGGCCCGGACGGCGCTCCCACGTGGGACGGTAAGGAACGTTTCCCCTCTACATAACTCTTAGGACCTGGGGTGAGCAACTAGGCAGAGGAAAGCCAGCACTGTCAACACCTCTGGATCCACAGTTGGTACTTAGAGTCCAGGAACCAAGTATGTGTGACTAGACGTTAATGATTGCTTTGTATAGTGTGGAGAATGATTTACAATAGCTGTATTTTTGGTTTTGAATGAGTGAATTTATTAAGTATACAGCAAACCAGAGTAAAAGAATAAAAAGGAGGTAATAGGTGATGGCAAAACGTCATCAAATTGGGGGCTTACGTTCAGCAGAAATTGGCTGAGGAAGCGCCTTTAAGCCAGCCAGCTAGCGTTCCCAATTGAGCTTTCCCAATTGGCGTTCCACACATGAGCTTCCCGTGGCTGAACTCCAGTCTTCTGGTTCCCACAGCAGACACCTTTATATCACGGGATACACACTAGTAATCTCTGTTGGAGATGGTTTACCTTCTAGCTGTTCTCAAGGGTACAGTGTTTTTAATCTTGGGCTGTTGTGCTGTTCCCTTCCCTCCCTGTCACAGAGCTAGTGGGGCCAGACCATCCCCAGACAGAGGACACTGAGACAAACCTACTCATGGTTCTGAAGTGGGAAGAAGTGACCAGCTTCTAAGTGAGCTCAAACAGCACCTGACAACTTACCAATGTAATATACATTATAGTGATAGAGAAAGCGGTTCCCAGACCACAAGGGCACCCATCTCCACTGTCTTAGGAGCACTAGCCCACCCGTCTCTAGGTGTCCTTAGGACCCAATTCCATACCTCATGTGCTTTTGTCTTCCCTCACCCGGAGAGCAAGGCACAGGAACTGATGCCTCTGGGATGGTGGGTATCAGTGAATGAGTGGATGGATGAGTGGATGGTACATACATGTGTGGATAGATGAGTATAAATTTGGATAGATAGAGCTGTTGGGGTGTATGGCTAGCCCGTGCACCCTGAACTCAAGACCAGTGCCTAAAACCATGATGAGTCTTGAGGGATCACAAGGTGAGTGATGATGGTCAGTCAGGTAGATATATGCTCAGGGAGGTGAGTGGAGAGATGAGTAGTCAAATGGATAGGTATTAGAATGGAGGGATGAATTGTCAGTGAGGTAGATCTATGCTAGTGTAGGTGGGAGGGTGGGTGACTAGATGGATGGTCAATTATGTGGATGGATACCAGGATGGATGGATGCATGCATACACGCACAGGCAGGTAAGTTAACAGACAGTCGGTGATAGGTGGGTAACATTGGGCAGGGATGGTAATAGGGACCACACATTGGTGAGCCTGAAGATATCAGGTGTAAACTGCAATGAAAGGCATTTGGGAGTTGGGGCACAGCTAGGGTGAGATCTCCGTACAGAAATCACCTCTGAGGGAGATGAGAGGGGTTTCAAGAGCTGAGAGCATATGCTGGTGTTTTGGGCCTTAACCAGGAGCCCTGAAGAGAGCTGGGGGTTGTGAAGAACGAAGATAGGAAGGGGCCTGAGAAGGAGCTTTACCCACTCAAGCATTCCTGGCTGGCAGGGACTCCCAACTGGCTTATGCCTGTACCCCAGGGTACCTCCAGTGCTCCAGATACAACTACCTCACCATCTCAGGCCTAGCCTTCTACTGCCCAAGAGCATAGAGGAGACACAGAGGAAGGGAACCCGGGTGAGGAACGTCTCACAGGCTCCATGTGCTCCAACCGCAGGGCAATGAAGTGGCCGCCCTGCCGCCCCCACTGGTGCAGCTTCATGAGAGCAGCTCATATACCCGGCGGGAGCACTCCTACTCCACAGCACGGCCTTGGCGGGCAGACGACATCCTGGCCAGTCCCCCACGCCTGCCAGACCCACAGCCTTACCCTGGAGTTCCACATCACCATGGCTCCTATACACACCTGAGGCCAGTCCGCCCCACAGCCGCACCTGCCCACACCCACCAAGACTTCCAGCCAGTCGTGAGTGTCCAGGGGTGGAGGGCATATATCCATCCAGCACCTGGCAGGGTGGAGGAATCCCAGAGCTGCCAGGGAGAATTCCTGGGCAGAGATCTCTGGATGGGCTTCTGACTGGCCTGGGCATCACTCATGGTGACTGTCTTCCAGGCCAGGGACTTGCTTTCTCCCTGGTAGTCAAGTGGCTGTCAATAAATAAAAAGCCTCACAACTAGTCCCAACCCCTGAAGATGCCAGAGGAGACAGTACTAGGCCAGGCACAGGCTGGGGCAGCCAGGGATGGGTTGGCTGCTCAGGACCCAACAGGCTGAGCTGACCTGATTCTGCTCACAGGAAAGGGTATCAGGGGTCATGTTGGGGGGCTGCTGGACCCATGGTGTGGAACTGTTGCTGCTGCCCTGGGCAGAGACCTGGCCAGAGCTCGCTGCAGGTTGTCACTGAGGGCTAATGCCCTCCACACTCAGCCATGAGTGGGCTCTGCCCGTATGTACCATTGCTGCCTGCGTGTAGCACCTCAAGACTGAAATGAAAGGTCATGTGTGACCCAGCTCATGACACGACATGTGACCTTTCCTGCAGCTCCATCTGGTGGCACTGAACAGCCCACTGTCAGGTGGCATGCGTGGCATCCGTGGGGCCGACTTCCAGTGCTTCCAGCAGGCCCGGGCTGTGGGGCTGACCGGCACCTTCCGTGCCTTCCTATCCTCAAGGCTGCAGGACCTCTACAGCATTGTGCGCCGTGCTGACCGTGGGGCCGTGCCCATCGTCAACCTCAAGGTAGGTGGAGCCTGGTCTCAGGTGTGAATTCACAGCGAGAGCTCAAGATATCCCACACAGCCCGCTAAGCCCCTCACTTCTCAGGATCCTGGTTCCCATCCTGTGCATGTTCCCAGGGGCTCCTATGCTGCTGACCACATAACCCACAGTAGCCTGGAGCTGGGTCCAGAAACTCCCATATTTGTGCACCAGCAAACCTGGCCCCTCTGCCGTGGGGCTTCCCCCTCCCTCAGCCCTGTGTGTGCCATGGTGTCCTGTGGCCTCCCTAATGCTCATTCCTAACAGAGACCGATGTCTTCGCTATGTCCCTTCACAGGACGAAGTGTTATTTCCCAGTTGGGAGGCCCTGTTCTCTGGCTCCCAGAGTCAGCTGCAGCCGGGGTCCCGCATCCTCTCTTTCGACGGCAGAGATGTTCTGAGACACCCCGACTGGTAGGTCCCCCAGCATGGACAGTGTGATAGCTTGAGAGAGCCCCAGGTCGGGGAGTGGCAGGACTCCAACAAGCCTCTGTCCTGGCAAAATCCATGCTCACAAAACTCAGAGTGCACTTGAGAATGGATGGTCACAGTACTTTTAAGAACAAGGCTCTCAGCCCTCTTAAGTACCCCTTCAAATCCATGATGGACATGACATGTTCACCATCTGTGACCACCTACTGAAAGAGTAGCTTGTATCCTTGGGTGGTACCTTGGTTTGCCACTCCCCAAGAGGCACCCATGAGGTCCCTCTACATGAGCTGTGGGCAGAGCTGAGTGGCTAACCCCTGGCAGGCAGAACTTGCTCCCAGCCAGGGGCACCTGGATATCTATCAAGCAAAGGTTCCAGGAGCCAAGTCCATTCAGCTAGGCAAAGCCAACCCAGAAGTGCCTGGCCCAGGCTGTTCCCCAACACCCTCTCCTGCAGGAAGGGGTGCATCTGGGAGGTGGGCCTAATCACAGGGGCCTCCTACTGTCCCCAAGGACAACTGCTACCCTCTCTCCATCTTCTCTGCCCTAGAAGGGTAGATCTGAGAGTAGCTGACAGCCCATATACCTTACAGGCCTCAGAAGAGTGTGTGGCATGGCTCAGACCCCAGCGGTCGCAGGCTGACTGAGAGTTACTGTGAGACATGGCGGACAGAGGCTACAGGGGCCACAGGTCAGGCCTCCTCATTGCTGTCTGGCAGGCTGCTAGAACAGAAAGCTGCGAGCTGCCACAACACGTACATCGTCCTGTGCATTGAGAACAGCTTCATGACGTCCTTCTCCAAGTAGGGCCTCTGCCAGCTGGGATGGTGGACAGAGGTGGTGGAGCGCCCGGACACAGTGCAGGGAGCATCTGGTCAGCCCCCTGGGTCTGGCTGGGATATTGTCCTATACAGTTCATTTTATGTAATCCTCAAAAAATAAAAAGAAGCCAAAGAGTATATTTTTAAAAAATTTCAAACTAGCATATGCCAAGACATCCTGCCCTTCCCTTCCAACCTGTACTGGCCAGCCTGTGTCAGTGGTCCGTATTCTGCTTGGTGTAACCCCCTGGCAAGGGTCAGGCCACAGCTGGATCTCAGCAGACGGCTAAGACCTGCACTCCAGGCCTGCTGGCTCTTCATGGCTCCCAGGAGCTGGAAAGGACTCATTCTTGCCCTGATTGGTACAGACCCTCTCTAGTCTGGTACCTTTCTGTGCACAGACCCCAGACCCTTCACAGAGTAGTCACATGGAGGTGCTGGGGCAGACCCTAGGGAAGCACAGGACAGCAGGGCCTCTCACCTCTCACCACTGAGCTGCTGTGCTTAGGGACCTGCTCATCCAGGTGGTGACTGGGACCATCCATATTAAGCAGTGGGAACCTCTCTTACCTACCCCCACTCTCCAGCAACCACAACACTCCCTGGCAAAGCAGGTTTCCAAGCTCAGTACCCACTGTGACTCCAGATCTGGCCTTGGCCTCTGTACACAGTGACACAGGGACAGGAATATGGCCACACTTCTCCTGTCTGCTGGTTTTGCCCAGGGCCAGCTATGATATGAGGTACCCACCTCAAGCCTGACTCTCAGATTGACCTCCCTGTTGACCCATGAGATGCCATCTAGAGCAGAGCCTCACCCCAGCCAAGCCAGAGAGTCAGGCTGTGACAGTATCCTGTCCTTGCTCCTTTGCCTAAGGTCCATGAGTCTGCCAGTGTCTGCACAGAGCACTTGTCCTGTGGAAGGAAGTGTGCACTCAGGGCCACAAGGGGCCAGTGTGCCAGCATGTACCTGCCTCAGGCTCTACTGTCCAAGGACTGGGACAAAACCGGTGGGGTTAGTTCTGTGATTCTGTGTGATGTGAAGCCATTTCAAACAGGCACCAAATAAAAATGGCCTTTTACACAGACACTTGGTTTGTAAGCCGCCTTCCCTGTCAATGAGGTCAGATGGTCCAAGACAAGATCTAAGTTCCTCTGTCATTGCACTTCCTAGCTGTATGTCCTGCTAAGAGAGCACAGGTGTTCATGGATACACATGTATACAGGCACAAGTGTATACAGGCAAACACAGGTGCACATGAATAGATGTATGCATAAACCTAAGTTTGGGTGAACATTCACAGGTACGCATGGATGTTTATATGCACAAGTATGGGCAGATTTACACAGGTGTACATGGATAGACAGGTATATGTACACAGGTATGGTATACACAGATGTGTGTGTGTCCAAGCATGCATGTGCACAGATGTAGACGGGTATGCACATAGGTAAACATAAACGTGTGGTCAGGCCACATGTATGTGTACAAGTGCATGGACATATGCTGTCATGCACGAATGTGTGAATAGATCTGAGTGGTTGTGCACGGGTGTACATGCATGCACACTGGGTACATGGATAGATGTCTATGCACAGGTATGCAAAGGCATGTACAGGTATGTGCTTATGTAAGGGTGTGCAGACATACACAAGTGTGGTCAGATGCTATACTGTTCACCTTTCTTTTGGGGTTTCCCCAGGTGGCCGGCAGTGCACACAGATGATTTCAAAATCATGCAGAGGATCTGTTCTCAGTCCAGATAACCTGTGTTCACTGCCTAGCTGCCATGTCCTGACTGGTGGCCAAATTTAAGGGACTGAGCTTGCCAAACAGCAGGGACTAGTTCTTTGGACACAGAAGACCATGTCCAAAGCTCCAGCCAAGTAAAAGAACTACTGGTGGCTGGCCAAAGAGCCCAGCTGCAGAGAAATGCCAGTCCTCAGCTAGTATGGGCTGCCAAGCAAAGGCTGTAGAGCCACAGACCAAGGTGGGCAGGTGCTGTAAGGAAGAGCTCTCGCTGGGAAAACTCCTGAAGAAGGGTGCCAGCAGAGCCTGGCCTGCTGTGTTGGGGGCCACTAGGGGATGGTGCAGAGTACACTAGCACAGCAGGAGTGATCACACACCATCTCTTCCAGTGACACAGGACAAGCCTCACCTCCACCAGTCATGTCCTGAAGGATCTCCAAGCCCGGAGGGGACAGAGCCAGCCCTCTCCAGCAGGGCTGCAGGCTGCCCTGGGGGGCATGTGAATGCATGCACCAGGCCCATTCGCCTTTCTGACCATCATTAGCTGAGACTCAGGCCAGCCCCACCTTAGCCCCTTCATCAACCTAGGGTCACCCAAGGTAACCTCTCCCAAGTTGACTCGAGGGTAGGTCCTCAAGCACAGCAGGCTCAGCAGAGTGACTCACTATAGCCAGCCAGAAGAAATGCTGCTCACCTGCCTAGAGGGAGAGTCTATATTGGAGTTAGAAGTCAACTCAAGGGCTCTGAGGGCCTGGTCTCTGCTGTGCAACCCTGGTCTTGCTGGAGCTAATAAACCACGGCCTTCATGCATCTGGCCAGCATGGAATCAGGGGCCTTCTCACAATGGGGTTTGTTTATAATATCTGGAAAAGTGCTCATGCCACAGATGGTCTTACCTCACAGAGGGATGCTCTGATGGCTTCCAGGTGCTAAGGCCAGGAGACATTCTTCCCCAGTGCACGGAAACACCCTCCAGAGGAACTTGTCCCAGGCAAGAATGGCTCACACTAGGCCAGTGTGCCCACAGTCCTCTGGGCTGCCATAGTGTGACCAGCTCTAAGATGTTCTCTTTAGCCTCAGGTCAGTACTAACTCATTCAGGGATGGAGGAAAGAATAACAGGGCTCTGGGCTAAGGTCTGCAGATGGAAAGGATCTGCTCCACAGGCCAAGCCACCACTCCATAGAGGGGACATGTCTGCTGCCCATGACTCCAGCTTCTCACAACTGAAAAAGCCAAATGTTCTCCATTTTAATGTCAGTTTTTTAAAAAAGGTGAGAGCATCGTCCAAACAAGCACCTCAGACAATGAAGTGTCACAGCTTAGCCAGGAGCCTGGGGATGAGCTCCTACCCCACATGGAGGGACCAGCACTCTGCAAGGTCAGTGTGCCCTGGCTGGTGTCTCGGTTACCTCGCCAGCCTTGGGGACAGACATGATTTGCCCCAGCCTGCGAGGGTTGAGGCCAGGTTGGCCTGGTGGACACAGGAGACCCTACCACAGGCTCTTTGCAGCAAGCAACAGGCAACATGGGCCCACAGTGGCCTGGCATGTAGGCTACGTAGCCAGGCAGCTGCCTTGAGTGTCCCAGCAGGCTCCGACCACTACTAGAGCATGATGTAGGTTGGGTTTGGGTGCTCAGAGGCCAGTAGGACAAGCTATGATTCCTTTGTTAAACCAGGTAGCCCCTAAGGTGAGTCCTGGAGATACGTTGAGGGTTCCTAAAAGGTACCACAGAGGGCCCCACATGTCCCTGGTAGGCTGGGAGATTTGTCTGCAGCATCAGACCCAAGCTGTATCAAGATGGAGTGCAGATGGGAGGGGCTGCCCCTGGGTCAGGAATCTGCCTGCTGGACTAGGGCTGAAGGAAAGCCAGGACAGTCAGGATAGGTGGTCAGGCCTTGACTTCAGGCCTCAGGTTCCCCATGCTGTCCTCCACGATATCCTGTGGGAGCAGTGGTGGGGCTGAGGGCTGCAGGTCTCTCAGGTCTCCATCCTGTACACTTAGCACCTGCACAGTCTTCTCCTCCAATGGGCTCCTCAGCTCCTGGGCCAGGGGCAGGGGCTGGTGGCGACCCTTCCAGCAGAACCTCAAGCCATCCAGCACAGCCCCAGCGAAGCAGATGATGGACAGAATGAGGAAGTACACGAAGTAGATAAAGAACTGAAAAAGAGGGTCGTGTTACACACACACTCACACGTACCTGGGGAATCCTGCTCGGGTTCTCCATCTTCCAGCTCCCAGGTGGCCATAGGACACTGAGGAGAGTCAGGCCTGGGCCAGGACCTATGGTACCTGTTCCCCATCCTTTGCCCTTTACAGTCTGATCAGATCATCCTGAAAGGGGCCCCTACCACCCAAGGATCCCAGGGAGCCTGGCATATGTCCTGCATCTGTGAGCCTGGTCCCCAAGCTCTTGATTCATGGAGCTGGGTTCCAGTTACCAGGAGGGCTCCAGAACAATGACCCAAAGGGGCTTCCCCTAGGCCTTGGCCACAGTCAAGATTACAAAGAGCCCCCAGCTTCACCTCAGTGTAGAGAATACACAGCAATGACCAATGACAAGAGGAGCTACAGGAACACCCCTCTGGAGGGACTGGGTACATTTTTTCCCAAGGAGGGATCAGACAGGTGGCTGCACAAAAGCCTGGAGTGGCCCCAGTGTAGGCAGGTGGGCTCCCTGTAACTCCTCAGGCAACCTTTCAGAAAAGCTGTTTTTTAAAAAATATTTTTTAAGCATTTTGTTATTTTTATGTGTATGAGTATATTGCCTGCATGCATTTAAGTGCACCTGTGTTGTGTAATGCCCACGGAGGTCAGAAGAGGGCATCTGTAGCCAGGAATGACTTATTCCTCCGAAGAGCATGGGCTATGGGTGAGCACAGGGCATCCTGGGAAGAAGGTGGCGCCTAGCCAGCAGTGAGCATTGAACATTAGTGTGGCTGGAGACTGGAAAGGAAAAAGAAGGTATGTGCGGGAGCCCGCAGGGGCAAATGGCCAGGGCTTCCTGCAAGCGTGGAAGCAAGATGGGGCATTTACAGACCTGGGGCGAGACTGCCAGCCTATGGGGCACTGGTGAAAGCTAATGGAGACTGTGGGCCGGGCGCCGAAGTGATTGGAAGGGCCACACACACTGCCTGGTTTCTTTGTAAGTCACCCCTCACTCCCTACCATAAAGGAGACCCAAACTAAAAATGACTTATGTTAGTCTGTGAGCCTTGAGGCCTTGGGAGGGAGTGTGTGGGGCCTCCCAAGAAAGGGAAAAGGGAAGAAAATTTAGTGCAACAGCATGGATTCCCCTGGAACTGGAATTATAGCCGGTGGTTAGTTGTCATGTGGGTGCTGGGAATCAAACCTGGGTCCTCTGCAAGAGCAGCCAGTGCTCTTAAATGCTAAGCCATCTCTAGCCCCAAAAGGTCACATTTAAGGCAAACCAAGAATGGCCCAGTAAGGACTTTGTTCTCAAGAGGACAGGGCTGACTTCTTCCGATTCTTCCCCAATCAAGGCACCATGGAAACACCACCAGGGCTGGATAGAGAAGTGGCAGCCAGCTAGATCTCAGAAGCCACCGAGGTTGTGGAGGACAGTGCTGGTTTTGTGTTTTTGCCTCATGGATCTTGGAAATGAAGCAGCCAGCAGCCCAGCAATGCCAAGAAACAGGCAAAACACCCAGCACAGCTGCCCACTCTGCCCACAGAACCAGCACAGGGATATCAAACCCACAGGGCAAGTCCCCAGACAAGGATGCTCCACTCTAGCAATACCCCTCCCGAAGGGACAGGACCCCACCTCAGCCACAACAGGCACAAAGGAAGACCTCGGGGTCCTCCTGTTGAGTGGGGTCAAACAAGACCCAGCGGGAGAAACTTCAATCCCACAGGGTGGTAATAGCCCTACTTCTACCCTGAGCCTCATGAAGTCAGCAGCAGCCATGCAGGGTGCCTGGACCCCTCCCTCCCAACACACACCTGAAGGGTAAGAGGCAACTAGAGGGGATCACAGAGTTAACTTCACATCACCCAGAGGAAATAAGATGCCTTGCTCATGGACCCCAGGGGAGTTAATCTTCCATTCCACACAAAGGATCTTCCATACCCATCTTCCCTGTCAGAGTTGTCAGGACAAGGCTTGAGAACCCCAGATCTCAGCACACAATACCAAGAGGCCTTTATCTCAGCCACTGCTCCGGCACATTAGAGCTGCAGACCTCACACCGAGGCCTCTGAACATCAAAACTGGGCAGTAGATGTTGAAACTGTCTGAGCAACATTTTAGAGTAGTCACAAGACTCCAGAAATAATGAAAAAGGAGACTGTCTCAAAAGAAATGAGAAATGACAGAAAAAAGACACTGAAATGACAGAAGATGGTCACTAGCAAGCCTGCCTAAAAAATGACCACAGAAGTTAGCCAAGAAGAAATGGTGAGAGACCATCTTGACTGTCTGGCATGTTTGCCTTTGTTTCTGCTTGCTGAGGTAGGCTCGCTATGTAGTTCAGGTGGCTCTGGGGTCACGATCTTTCTGTTTTAGCCTCCAAGTACTGGCATTAACCCATACGCATGGCTTGGGTTTTCCAAGTTAAGTTCCATGGTGAAAGTGAAATTGATAATAATGCTATGTGACTCTCAAGGTCTGTGGGCAAACATCAGGGCAGTTGTCCTATCAAGAAGAGCTGGCTTGGTGACATAAAGTTTCCACATACCACACACAAGCAGTTGCCAAACACCAGACTAAAAAGCATTCAAAATACAACGGGGGAGATCCCGCCCACTGCGTCGCAATTCCATTCCTCTCATCCACCCTCACCCTGTCCCCTGCTGGCCTTGAACCCAGGTGGGCTCCAATTCCTCTGACTCTTATCTCTGGACTAGCTTCCGTCCCAGACTAGCCAAATTCCCTAGCATAGACTCCACTGACTACTGATCTGTCTGACACAGACCAGCCCTCCAACCAACCTGACCTGACCTAACCTACTACCCTGTCCCACTATCCAGACCAGTCTACTACCTTGCAAGAACCTGAAATATGTACCGATTTATTCTCCATACCTGAACAAAAAGCAACCAAACTACACAAACAAAATAAACAGAACCAAAGTTAAGTTAAACGAAAGTCTACTGGGCCTACTGGGCACATAATCAAAGAATATCCATATGCCCATATGGTAGCACAAAAACACAGACAATATGAAAAACCAAGAGACTATATCCCCAATAAAATCCACTAGTCCTACAGAAGGGCACTGCAATGAGAACCACCCCAGGATGCAGAATTTAAAGAACAATCATTAACATGATAGAGAACTTAATGAAAAAACAACTCAAAGAGGACAGGCATAAACCTGAACATACAGGTTTAAAACATACAAGCATAAACCAAGAACATACAAATATGCGGCTTAATGAAAGATCAAAAACAATTCATGACTTGAAAAGTGAATTCACAAAAGAGATAGAAGTAGTGAAGAAAACCCAAATGGAAATGAACCTGGGACTGAAAAACAGGAGAAACCCTCACAACAGGATGAATGGAACGGAAAACAGAGTATCAAGACTGGATGACGAAGTTGAAGATCTGAACTCCTTAAGCAAAGACTGACCTTCCTAAAACAAAGACTTCTAAACAGGCTGACTAGATTCACCAGATGGACAAGTAGTGGGGAACGGCTGGGGGTGCCGACAACACAGCAGAGATATCAGAGTGTAAGGGCTCTAGTGGGAGAGGGAGGCTATGGGAGGGTGCTATCTGGGAAGTGGGTGTATAGTTGAATAAGATGGTTTGGGATGTTCTGTGTGATACACACACACAAAAAAATCAACAAATTTTGAAAAATGAATTATATTTGAGGAGGAAGCGTAAAAATTTACATCATGTTAATTAGTAGAGGTGATAAACATTACCATTGAAATCTACGTGATGACTTTATAGACATACACAGGCACCAAGGATCTGAGTGCAACTGATTATGACTAGTAATAATTAGACACATACAGATGAGAGGTGCATGCACCAACATCTCAGTGTTAGCAAAAGCAATGAATCTTTCTGTAAGAAACAGTATATTTTAAAATGAAATGGAGATCCTTTTTAAAGGTTAAAAATTCATTCAATTTTATATCTTACAGGGTTTATACTGAGTTCAATATTGTATAACTGTATTAATTCAACAGCGAACCTAAAAATTTCATAGCCACTTTTGAAAGAGATATATATTTGCTCTGGAAACCGTTATTGAGTATGTTAAAGCTGTAATGAAATGCTTCTTTAAAAAAAAATGAACAAACAAACAAACAAACAAAAAGAGCCACAGGAATGGATACTCAGGAAATGTGGGACAACATGAACAGACCAAATCTATGAATTATAGGCACACGGGAAAGAGAAGAATCTCAGGTCAATGGCATTATAGAAGAAAACTTCGCTAAGTTAAGGAAAAGACTTACCTATAAAGATTCAAGAAACACATAGAACACCAATTAGACATGACCAGAACAGAAACTCCCCATGGCATATCATAGTAAAAATACTAAATGTACAAAACAAAGAGAGCTGCTAGAGAAAAACAACAAGTCACATATAAAGGAAAACCCATCAGAATTACACCTGACTTTTCATTGCAAACTGAAAGCCAGAAGAGCCTGGAATGAAGTATTCCCAGTTCTAAATGACCATGGATGCCAACCCTGAATAGTTAATCCAGTAAAACTATGATCATGGTTGAAGAGGAATGGAAAATCTTCCATGACATGAATAGGCTGAAAGAATTCATGTCCACCAAACCAGCCCTACAGAGAACACTCGAAGCAACACAAAGGTCCAAAGAAAGCAATGAGTAGACCCAGGAGGCTACAGAAAGAGAACAAAGAAAGGTGTAATAATGGAAACACGAAATACGGCCACAAACACAAAGAAATTAAAATGACAGTATCCAATACACATCTTTCAATAATAACACTAAATATCAATGGCCTCAACTCCTCTGTCAAAAAACATAGGCTAGCAAAATGGATCAAGAAAGAAAACCCATCTTTTTGTTGCCTTCAAGAAACTCATCTCACCTTCAAGGATAGACACTACCTTAGGGTGAAAGGACAGGAAAAAATATTCCAAGTAAATGGCTCTAAGAAGCAGGCAGGTGTTGCAATTCTAATATCTGACAAAT